AGTCCTCGACTCCTTGGGAATCATTCACCACCACATGCATGGCTAGCCTGAGAGTTTTAATTTATTTATTTAAAGAAAAATTGAAAACAATAGAGATAAAGAGAGAGAGGTGAGAGGAAGGGAATGTTGAATGTTGAAAAGAAAAAAAAAAAGCATGAACAATGAAAGGAAGGAAAAAAAAATGTATATATATATTTTACTAATATAAACTAATACTTCTGTATATTTATATATAAGTTCATTTATTGTCCTAAGGATTGAAGAGTATGCTGTGTATATAGCAACCCAATATAATTGGGCAGCAATCTTTTATATTTTTATGAAAAGAAAGTGTTTCTCTCTTTCTCTCTCTGTTTATTATGGTTGTTATTGAGTGATACTAAAATTGGTCTGGGTTCTTTGCCTTTTGCTATTCGGAAGCATTTTTTAATGGCTAGTTCAGGTATTTCTATATTAACACACTATAGGCGGAGGATCTTGACGAAAGTATGCTAGTATGCGGTAATTACCACGACTCTCGTCTTTAAGTAGCAGTCGAGATAAATCATAGTACTACGACTCTCGGCTTTAATGTGTTAACTTCCTGACAGACCCATATGACATTTGCACGAACATCTTCGTTTTCCGTACCAGGCAAATTAAAGATTAAAAAATTATTTCTTTTTCTTTCTCTTTTTAAGAATCTTATTTCGTTCTCCAGGGCAATAATTTTCTTGTCCTGGTCGGAATTTTTCTTTTTGAGCTCTGAAATTTCCTCCATTAGAGAATCAAGAATTATTTTGATGTTATTAAAAGATGATTTTGTTTCTTCATTATTTTTTTAAGCTCTGCTAGTAAATCTTCATTGGTTACACCCATAATAACTATATATTGTAAGACTTTTTTTTTAAATAAATAGGCTTTTTTTAATTTGAAGAGAATTTTTTTTTTTTTTATTAATACATAACATAAAATTGGACATAAAAATGAGCAAATTTTTTGGCAGCTTCACAGCGTTCCATCACAATCCAGGAAATAGTTCAGTTCAGCAGGTCTCTTGGTTACCGCTTGCGTAATCGTCGAGATGGGCTGTACGGGTTTCTAGTGCTTTTAAGGTTTTCGGTCAGAGGATTTGTGTTGTAAGTTAGTCTTTAGTGAAAGTTACTGTAGTTTTCTTTTGCACTGTCTAAAATTGTTGGGATGTTTAAGTCTTTAAACATGAAGAGAAATTAAAAGGAAATAATAATATATATATAAATAAAATAAAGTTTCTTTGAAGAAATGTTCAAGTCAACGTAAATATAGTTGTCAAGGAACAGCTGTTGGCTGTTACTGACCTTGTGATGAGACTGAAACAGAGAAGGGGGGGCTGACAGGAAATTTCTTGCAGATTTTAGCGATAACGGCTGCAAACTTCCAGCGAAATGCCTCTTCATTTATTCCTTCACAGCTGCTCTTGCACTCTTCAGAACACCACCGAAATTTGTAAAAGCATTCCTAAATACGAATCAGAGGAGTATACCAAAAATCACTTTTATAGGGAGTGTATAACTTAATAGGATTGAAAATGAACACAGACCCGAACTGACGCTCAATACTGCCAAAGTCATACTCTATGTTTATTTATATATCAAAAACACTTTTATCTCACAGCCTTCTTATTTTACATTTAAAATATATTTACAAACATTTAAAAATTGTTTTTTAACGTTTCGGCTGTGAGATTTAAAAAAGTTTTGATATATAAATAATCAAATTAGATTAAATATATTAATTTTAAATTTTAATAATTTATTTGTACCTAAAAAATCTAGAATCACATTGTTTTTCAAATAAATAGTCCAGTATCACATTATATCATATTCCGAAAATTCCAAATTTGTGATTAATGAAACATATAGAAAAACAGAAAATGTGTAAAATCAAAGCCACAACAATTAACACGTTTCAAGCAATTAAAACAAATTCATAAGCACGTATCAATTTTTTTCAGCTCTAGATTAACACCTGAAATGAGCAGTTCATGATGCTGTTGAGTCTTCTGTTTATGTATTATTTATCCCTGGTGCAAAGTGGTCCTACCGAACTTTACAGAACTGGTTTGTTGATGTGTGGCAGTGAAAGCTTTCACAATAAGTTGAAATATTATTGTTGCTGCTTAGGACTAACTGCTTCTCCATCAATTTTCCATTTATCCACTTGTATATTAGAATTATATATATTCTTAAATATTTTTATTTTAAAATAATTATTACTTAATAAAAAAAAAGTTTTAATTTATAAATCAATAAAAATGTATTCCTGAATAAAAACGTAGAAAAGACAAATTACAAAATAAAGTATTACAAAAATTATAATTATAATTTATAAATTTAATATATGTATAATGGAGCTTTCTATCATTATAGAGGATTCTGTCATTATACTTACTATAATTTTTTATATTCTTGAGATTTAAATTATTTATATGTTTACAAGCCAGTAATGTTGAATTACATGGGTCTTTACTCTAAAGACTACATATTTCCTCAAAAACAATTTTTGAATAAATGGTTAATTTGTTGATTTTAAACAATAAATTAATAGAATAAAGTCTGAAAGATACATATTTATGTTTCCATAACTTATTCACAACATAAAGCTAGTTTATGAAATAATTTTATTATTATTGCTGCACACTTGTACATAATTTAATAGACTTTAGTAAGCTAACGCAATAATTATTTAGGCTAGTTTGTTCAGATATTAGTTAAATTCAAATCCTTAGAAATTTTACTTCAATATGAGAAACTATCGATGCAAAATATACATTTGATTCTTTCTGTCCTTATTATTTGAAAAATGTTGCAAAAATATTTCCAGGATCATATTTAAAACTAATTGGGTACATGCAAATTATTTTAAGACTGGTTTTTAAGTATATGTATAAAACAGATATTTTTGTGTGGAAATAAATGATCATACAATTTTTGTTCAATATACTTATATCCATTGTTATTAGTTAAATCTATATGAAAGACTAATATGGAAATTCTAACAACTTGATCGCAGTCTTATTCCAACAAATGATTTTTTAAGATGGTATAACTATAATAAAAAAACTATTATTTTTTATCACCTACTTGTAAATTATCTTATTTTTTCTATAAATCAATACATTTTGAAGTTATTTTCTCAAAATCTTAAATCTCATAACTACTTAGGTACTTTTTTAAAATAATTTATTTTAGAGCAAAAATATCTAAATGTACACATTGTAAGGAAAAAGCTCTGTCATATACTAGTCATATTATTAGTGAAAAAATTATCTTCTCTAGAAAAAAAAGGCATACTTTTAAACTGATCTTAGATCATTTATTTTAATTGAATATATCAGTTTTACTTAAAAATAAATTTTAAAAATTCTTAACAGAATATTCAAAGTTCAATTAATGTTAATAAATTAAATGTGTAAGGACATTTTATTCACTAAATATGATTTCAATAATACTTCTTAAATATGTATTATTAGATTCATAATTTACTTAAATAAAGTAAATTAAACAACATTTTCTAATTTTATTTTTTATTACTTCATATGTCAGTTTCACGTTACCATATACCAACTATGATTGTTGCTTAAGCAAGTAATTGTTCACTATCTTCTAACTTCACAGACAAAGAATTATCAGCACAAATTTTAAATGAATGTTTTAATAAATTAAAGATAACTTTAGAATTTTTTATTTTTTTTATATTAGAAAACCAAACCTTCCTATGTAGCATGAAAATTAATTGTTAAATTGTTTTCATATGAAATATTAAAACAAATTGTTATCAATTTATGATTAACTTTGTGGAATTATTTTTTTCTTATTATTATTATATTGCTGTACGACCCACACGCTGAGTCTTAGCCTGCTCCAGCATTGACCACCGGGCATTTTTGTGCTGCCAAGTATCAATAACACATTTTTCCCATCAGAGCATTTTTTATCTATGAATCTCTTAATTTTTGTTCAGAAATAGTTATAATTATTCTATTAGCCACTTCTAACGAGCATGTCTTAACATGTGTTTAGACATTTCACAAAGTATGGGAAACACAATTATCTAACTTAACTAACAGCGACATTATTGCTAAACCAAACTATTTATTTTATTTCTCTTTATACTAATATGATATGGAACATATTAAAAACAAGAAACAAAAATACTAGCATTGTAAAATAACCATTTATATAAACATCTTTGTCCCATAGTTTTTGAAAAGTCTAAATGCACCTATTTCAATATTTACTTTTAAGTAAGTTATTTGTTCTTCATTTACTAATTTAAGTGATTTGGCAGAAGGTAATAATCTGATATTTTTCCTTTGAAGCAGAAATGAGCTCAAAAAATAAATTTGTGACAATAATTTAAAGTTCAACTGTAGATATATCTATATCTATATATGTCTATATATATTGTAGAATTATTATAATGATAAATTTGTGAATTCATTTGCAATTTCTTAATTATAGATTATAATGAATACTAATAAGTCAATTAAAGGGATGGCCTCCATTTAAAAAATAAATTAAAAGAAGAGATTCAAGTACATAACACATTAGAAGAGTATCTACTAATGTATTTTGATTTGGAAACTTCAAAAGAAAGTTACAGGTACTGAAAAAAATTTTTAAAAATCCATATATCAAATATTCCTTTAATGTATTACGTATTATATATTTAAAAAACATTGCAAAGTCAAATATTCTCAAATAAATGAAAAAAAAACATTACAAAGACTATTGTAATCCTTTTTTGTTTCTCAAAAAAATTCCTTAACTACAGAATATATCTTTCGAACGTCGGAATTTGATTGAAATCGGATTTCAGCCGGATTAATCGCCCGCTTTCAATTGACAATCAGCTGATTAAAAATAATCAACCCAAGGCCATATCAGGGATAAGCTGAAACTAAGGAAATCATAAAAATGAAAATATTAATCAAAATTATATTTTAAAATGAAAATGTAATATATTAATACTGATAATTTTTAATTCAAATAAAAGTATTAATTTCCATTAATGCGCGGTCGCGTCGTCGCGGAGGTTCTCCCCTATGTAGCCTCCCGTCGGTACATCATGGCGGCGATGGAGACTATCGAAGAGGTCGATTACAAAGAAGAATTTGTATTTGTTGACGAATATTTCCCTATTGATTTGCACGAGGAAGTTGTCATTGCAGAAACATTGGATACTACTGATGTGGTAACTGAACAAAGAGAAGATCATGAAGAAATCATCCATGGTAAGTAGACAAGTTTCCCGTAGCAACTAAATTACTCCATATTTGAAAGTTTAATTTATACTTTAATTAAGGCCTCCGACTCTTGAGGCTTCCATACAATATAAAGTACACATTTAGGAAAGTGACACTGTGTTTTCGCCTATATTTAAAGGTTTTATCAAAGCGTGATAAAGAGCCGTATTTATAACCAATATGAGAGAAGCCTCCAAAGATGGCTAACCTTGATCGTTTCAGGCAGGTTTTCCTTCTCACGGGTTTTGTTCTTATGGGTTTAACTATTAAAAAATAATCGTTTATTAATTTTCTATTATGCTGTTCATTATACATGACTTGCAGTTCGCTAATGCCTAATTTCCCTTTATTGCATAGGTCAATGAAAGAGGGTTGAACTTATTTATTAAGTTGATTTCTGTATATTTTAACCTTCACTATTATGAACCCTTACAAAGTAACCTGGTTGTTTTCATTCAAACAGAAAAACAAATCTTTTGTTATTATTTGCTTTTCTGATTTCTGAAATTTTCTACTACTTGTCCACCATGTTTTATGCCATTATTCTAACCTTGACTACTTCAGTGTAGATGAAAATTATTCTTATTTTGTTATTTTTTTAATTTTTTAATTAACATGAATTTCATGATGTTTATTCCCGCTTACTATTTTTGTATTGTTCAATTAAAATCATTTTTAAGTAATTATAGATTTTTAGTAATAATTTTGTTGTAGCCGTAGGCTCTTGGTCACTGAAAGTACTTTTTTCTCTCAGTTTTGTTATGATCAAATCTTTCATATTTATATATATATATTTTTTTTTTTCTACTAAACAATGTTCTTTCTATCGTTGGGTTGGTGTTTTATGAGTTAGAATTAATGCTTTAATTTGGTGACCTTTACATATGATTTAGATGAGTAAAATTATGTACTTTAAATTCTATTTCTCCTCGTTTTTAATGTTTGAAAAATAGTTTGAAAGAAAACCAAGATAGTTGTATCATCATGACTAATTTTTCCTAATGTATCCAGTAAAAAATTCTCTATTTACGATGAAAGTTAACTCATTATTTTTTTCTATTTCTTCTTTAATTTTTTTTAATTGAGTTATATGTTATAAAGTATAATTAAACTAAGCTTAATAATCACTCATTTTAATTTAATTTTTCCTTGAGTTAAAGAATTATTTGAATTTTTTTTTTTTGTATGATAATTGTAACAATTAATTGATCACAATGAAATTATTCAAGCTATAACTGTTGTTATACACCATAAATTTTTATTATTGGATAACTTGAATGGAGACAATGGTTTAATAATTATCTATTACGTAAGATTAAGCCTCAAACCATTCATTTGGTAAGTCATCAGAACAAATTTATCAACTATTGAAATTCGGATTGGATAAATTAAACTAACTTTCATCATATTTCTCTTTTTTTAGTTTGAACCAGTAGCTAAACTATATTTAAGAATTCAGTGTTGTTACATCATATTATGAAGAAACCATTGAGGCCATTTTATGGATTGTTTAAATTTATCTTATTTTAGAATTTTACTTTCTCTTTTTTTCTCATTATTTTAATTGTAATCATATGAATTAATTTCTAATGAGTTCTAAGGTCAAGAATTTTAACCTCTTAATGATAAACTTGTTGAGTTTCTTTTATTGGACATTTTTTCTTCCATTTTGTTAGTGTTTATTGTTGAAAGGATATTTATAGATACCTCTTAATATTAAAATCTAATGATTATATCTTCTTTCTTACTTCACTTATATGCACTTATGCTTATTTATTTGTGCATTTATACAATAAATAAACATAATTTACTTTGTTAAATAATTTATCAGTTATTAAAAATACATTTATAATACTAGTACGCTATAAAGAATATCGAGATTATGTTTTATTGATGTATGATACTAATTATGCAGCTGGTCACAAAATAAATGTTTTTGTTTCATTGGAAATAGGGATATAATTTTTAGAAATCTATTTTTTAAATTGATTATAGTTGCATCTTATTCTATCAACTTTAAATAGTAAAAATCTAATATTAGCCATTTATCTAAAACTAAAACAACTTTTAGATTAAAATTCATTAAAATTTAAATAAAATCCTTTACTGCCAAGTGGGAAGAAGATTTAATTCAGAATTGACCAGCTGAGGAAAGGTCTAAGAGTGACAGTCTAGTTGATCACTTCCTGATAACCTTTAAAATACAGGTTGAATCTACATTTACAGATGCTATTTTCACTGCAATATATAATTAACCTTTATGGAATGCATTTTTGAAAGAATAAGAAATAAATCTTATGTTTTTTTTTTAAGACTTCAACCACTAGGGTCATTATTGCCTTATTTTCATTGAGATTTAGATTCTATTTTCAAGTTTTGAGCATTTCAGAAAAGATATATATATGCACATCCATTTAAAAAAAACAAAACAAAGAAACAATGATCAATTCAAATTAACATTTAACCATTGAATCAGATTAGATAGAAATGAGCAAGGCTAGTTTCATCTAAATTTGTTATCAAAACACCAAGAAAAATCTATCAATATATTGGCTATATTGCTTGTGTAATTAATGGAACTTGAAACAACTGTTTCAATATAATTATTAGTCTTAATTTTTGATAGATTTGAATTATTTTCTCCATCTTACTATTGTACTTGTTTTATGAAATTTAAATAGGACAAAAGTCTCTATCATTACCTGTACTGCATGCAAAATATATGCTGTATCAAAATTAATATATATATATATATATATATATGTCAAATCGATTAGCAGCAGTTAAAATGTATGTTAAGCAAATGTATAATTAAAAACTGAATATTACGTATCAGTTAACCTGAACTATAGGGCTATTTTAGTTCATGAATATCACATCTTGTATAGATATATAAAAAAAAATAATAATAAAGAATGACTTAAAATATCTATTAGTAGATATTATTTATTCTGTTTCATCAGCCATGGATGGACCATGTGGTGGGAGACCCTCCTTGGGCACACATAGCCTCTATAAATTGGGTACTTTTAATGAAATAATTAATAAAGAGCATGAGGAACTTCTTTTTCTTTTACCTTCTACCAGGGCATTTCTGGCCAACATGGTCTTGATCAAATCACCTCCTTGCTCAACGATTGACTAAGAAACAGTAATTTTTTTTTTAAGTTGAAAAGGAGTTAATTGGGGGGTGCGGTCAAATAAATACTAAATTAAAATATAGTAATCATTTAATTCTTTTTTAAGTGTGTAAGTTAATCTATTAATTACAAATTTGGCAACAATTATTGTCGAATTTGAATTGCCAAGCAGTTATATTTTTTTTTAAAAACTATAAAGTCAATTGTAAGACAACCATATGAAAAAATAATAAAGAATATTGTCTTAAAACATTGATACATAGGGTATTATAAAACCAATAAAAATGTCAGTTTTAAATATACAATTTGTGATATCAGTAGGATGATTCTTATCTTAATATATGATGGGTTGTTTGTAGATATTAGGTAATGTGCCATCACTTAAAAAATGGTTTGTCAGTATAGTCTATTCAAATTTTTATTTTAAAACTAACAAAAAATACTTCTATTGATTTTAGCAATACATTCTAAAACAAAAAATTCTTATTGCTTTGAATAATATTGTGACACAAAAATTAACTTTTAACTGCATCTGCAATTTGTGTTTAGTAGAATGAAATGTAACAACTCTACTCCTTATTTATTCTTAGGGTACAAACACAATAAAACTAAGCAAAGGAAAAAAAAATATATTACTATACCATGAGCTTTTATTGCCTTAAACCAACTAGATAATACTTCTAATGAACTTTACATCTTGCATGATTTCTTTCCATATCTGCTAATTTTATTGCAGATAAGCTGTATCATTATTAGAATAGAAAATAGAACTTTATTCTGAGACTAAGTCCACTCAGAATAACAAAGATGAATTAATACAAAATAAAATACAAATCTGGCCAAAAACTAACTTATAAAAATTCTAACATTAAATACATTATTTAAAAAGTATTAGAAATAAACAAAAAAAAAGATATATATATATATATCAGTAACTGTCCCATTGACATTCTTTAGTTTAGTTAACCAAGGACTAGATCAACACTATTTTTAATGTAAATAATAGATGACTGGAATTAGAGATTGTTATGATGACATAGTTTGTATACCAGGAAGTGGAAACAAAACTACAAATTTTGAATAAACCTTTTCTAATCTACAATTGAGTGAATTTTTATATTAATAATTAATATATTATATTAAAAAACAAAAACTCAGGCCATTCTTATAGGTTCCAACTCCCTCCTTAGATCCATTTCCACCCTTCCTTCCTTGATTATTAATGACCAACCAATCTCCTTCACCTCCTCTGTAAAAAACTTAGGAATTACCATTGATCAAAACCTATCATGGAAACCCCATATTGCTCATATCTCCAGGTCATATAAGGTCAATTGGTACACTTAAACTATTTCATCGTTCTCGTCAGCATCTCCCACAACCTATCCGCAAGCTCCTCGTTTCCTCCTTGATTTTCCCCTACTTTGACTATGGGTGTGTGGTATATGGTGGCCTCTCGTTGGAGCTTGAGGAGAGACTGAAAAGAATCATGAACTGTTTTTTAAGATTTGTCTTCGGCACTTCGAGATGGTCTCATGTGTCCCACCTATATGACGAGTCAAAGTGGCTCTTCCCCTCTTCCCGCTGCCTATACTTTCTTGGAAATTTCTTATACCAAACGATCAACTCCCAGCACCCTTCCTATATCTACTGCTTCCTCAAGCCGAAACCTTTAGTCCAGTCAATAAAAACGAGATCCCGTGATTCTGACCTCTATATTCCATTCCACAAGAGAAAAACCAATGAACGTTCCTTCGTAGCCCGCTCCGTCATCTACTGGAGTTCTTTGCCACGTAACATCCATCATGCCTTTTCACCGTCGACCTTCAAATACCTCCTTACAGCCCAAACAGACGATTCGCAACAATAAATTTCATTCTATGAACTGAATTTGTGAGAAGCAAATGGTGATGCCCTTCCTCGCCGTTAAGGCTATACAGGATTTTCCCGGGCCAGGGAGTGTGGGCGGGGATTTAAAAGACTCCCCCGGCACCGGGACGCGAACTCGTGACTATTTTTATATCTTTAATTCATATGTCAGGTTGCCAGGCAACGGCGGTGCAGTGCACACGCTTTAATCCTCACCAATGATCTTTGACTATTATTTTTACTATTTATTTGTATTTCTCTTCACTTTAGGTTGTGCTTTTTCTTTCGGGTATATATGTTTATATTTTATGTCTCTCTGTGTACCAATATGAGTATGTATGTATACATAGTTCCTTTTTTTACCTTTATACCACAATTTTGTATATATATATATATATATATATATATATATATATATATATATATATATATATATGTATATATACATATATATATACATACATATAAAAATGAACACAAAATCTTCTCAAAATTACTTATTATTATGATGAAAAAAAAAAAAGAAGAAGAAAGAAAAGAAATTACATATCCATATATACATAACTGCACAATTTATAAACAATAGGCTATCTAATAGAAAAATAATTTAATACAAAATGTAACAATATTTACAGTAATTCATATAATAATAAGCAAACACTAAGATAAAATAAAATCTCAGGATTAATTGTGGTATAAAGGTAAAAAAAGGAACTATGTATACATACATACTCATATTGGTAAACAGAGAGACATAAATATATATATATATACATACATATAAAAATGAACACAAAATCTTCTCAAAATTACTTATTATTATGATGAAAAAAAAAAAAGAAGAAGAAAGAAAAGAAATTACATATCCATATATACATAACTGCACAATTTATAAACAATAGGCTATCTAATAGAAAAATAATTTAATACAAAATGTAACAATATTTACAGTAATTCATATAATAATAAGCAAACACTAAGATAAAATAAAATCTCAGGATTAATTGTGGTATAAAGGTAAAAAAAGGAACTATGTATACATACATACTCATATTGGTACACAGAGAGACATAAAATATAAACATATATACCCGAAAGAAAAAGCACAACCTAAAGTGAAGAGAAATACAAATAAATAGTAAAAATAATAGTCAAAGATCATTGGTGAGGATTAAAGCGTGTGCACTGCACCGCCGTTGCCTGGCAACCTGACATATGAATTAAAGATATAAAAATAGTCACGAGTTCGCGTCCCGGTGCCGGGGGAGTCTTTTAAATCCCCGCCCACACTCCCTGGCCCGGGAAAATCCCGTATAGCCTTAACGGCGAGGAAGGGCATCACCATTTGCTTCTCACAAATTCAGTTCATAGAATGAAATTTATTGTTGCGAATCGTCTGTTTGGGCTGTAAGGAGGTATTTGAAGGTCGACGGTGAAAAGGCATGATGGATGTTACGTGGCAAAGAACTCCAGTAGATGACGGAGCGGGCTACGAAGGAACGTTCATTGGTTTTTCTCTTGTGGAATGGAATATAGAGGTCAGAATCACGGGATCTCGTTTTTATTGACTGGACTAAAGGTTTCGGCTTGAGGAAGCAGTAGATATAGGAAGGGTGCTGGGAGTTGATCGTTTGGTATAAGAAATTTCCAAGAAAGTATAGGCAGCGGGAAGAGGGGAAGAGCCACTTTGACTCGTCATATAGGTGGGACACATGAGACCATCTCGAAGTGCCGAAGACAAATCTTAAAAAACAGTTCATGATTCTTTTCAGTCTCTCCTCAAGCTCCAACGAGAGGCCACCATATACCACACACCCATAGTCAAAGTAGGGGAAAATCAAGGAGGAAACGAGGAGCTTGCGGATAGGTTGTGGGAGATGCTGACGAGAACGATGAAATAGTTTAAGTGTACCAATTGACCTTATATGACCTGGAGATATGAGCAATATGGGGTTTCCATGATAGGTTTTGATCAATGGTAATTCCTAAGTTTTTTACAGAGGAGGTGAAGGAGATTGGTTGGTCATTAATAATCAAGGAAGGAAGGGTGGAAATGGATCTAAGGAGGGAGTTGGAACCTATAAGAATGGCCTGAGTTTTTGTTTTTTAATATAATATATTAATTATTAATATAAAAATTCACTCAATTGTAGATTAGAAAAGGTTTATTCAAAATTTGTAGTTTTGTTTCCACTTCCTGGTATACAAACTATGTCATCATAACAATCTCTAATTCCATTCATCTATTAGTTACATTAAAAATAGTGTTGATCTAGTCCTTGGTTAACTAAACTAAAGAATGTCAATGGGACAGTTACTGTATGAAGGCCTCCATTTATACATATTTGTGTGTATTTCTACACATAGGTGTAGAAAATAAAATACCCTGTATCATCGCTAATACAGGTTCGATTTCGATTTTTTTTTTTTGTTTTGTTGGTAATTTAATTACCTTTCAAAAGTTATATTATAAATTTTACCGTAGAATACATACTTAGTGAGTTAGGTCCTAAAACATTTTTCTTTTCTTTATAACTTTTTTCCTGAATTTTCTCGGGAATTTAGTGCATGTACAAAAATAGAAAGGACGTTTTTATTCTAATTTTTCTTTCTCCAGATGGGTTCTTCAATGAGTTATGATTAGGCCCTAGAGCAACATTATAATATATAGCAAGTAGACTCAGAAGCTGTTCCTGAAGAAATTATTAAAAATCTCAAGTTTCTATCATTAGTTTAATATTAATTTTATAACCATAGGCAGTACTAAAAAAAATTTATGTTAAGTATTTTCTTATATAAATATTTCACAAAAACTATTAATTAATGTTTTTTGTTTCTGTAGCAACAAATAGTATTTTACCTGAGGGGTATGATCCACTTGACCCCAATCAATGGGCACAGGAAGAAGTTATCATTGAATCTTCTGATACCTTTATCAAACAAGAGGTTATTGAAGAAGAAGAGCAGGAACAAGCTCATGTCTATGAATGCTATAAATGTGCCAGAAGGTTCAACTTTAAGGACAAATTGTTCAAGTAAGTTTAAACTTCAAAACATTACTTTCCCTTAATATTTAATTTAATTAAACTGATATGGTAGCTCCCAAAGTTGATTAAATATTAGTATCTATCATTTTTATATGACTTAAATTTTGTTACCAACTTTTCTCTAAATTTTGTACTTTACTCACAAAAAGTAGATTCCGCCATTACAAATTAATTTGCCCCAATAAAGGCCTTACATTCATGATAAAGGTAACTTTAATGCATATAAAAGCTTGAGATATCTGGGTTCTAGGAAAGCATTTGAATAAAAATAAAACTTTGGCTCTAATTAAATACCCTGTATCCTTTTTTTTTTTTTTTTGTCTTCCCTCTTTGCCTTTTAGACTGCATGAGTTTTTTCCCCAGGCTGGGGTAGAAGGTAGAGTTATGCCGAGTTAAAAGTCCCACCGGGCACCGGTATTTGGATTCCTAATTATTTTACTACCTGAAACTTCGGTTAACAGCTTGCTGACCAACGCATGGTGATGTTCACATGTGTTAGCCCACTAAGCCACTCTGCCCTCAAATGCACTATATCCTTGATAATACTGGTCATATTTAGCTAACTTTGCTTTAGTTTTGTGGAGAATTTCTTCTGCTCTCAAATAAGAATCTAAATTTCCCCATTTATATGAATTTTAAGACTTTCAGGATTATGTTCCTTAATCTTTAAAAACTCAAGGAAACTATTAACTCTCCAAAATATTTGTTAATAACTTACAAGGGAGTTTATCTTATAGAGTGGATGTGGAGTTACTGATTTCAATGAAACTCTTTTTTTTTTTTGTGATATTAGGTCAACAAATATTAGGCCCATGTCCTAATGTTAATTCGTACCAGGATTTTTATGTTATATACCAATCGATTTCTTTTTTTGTGCAGAATAAGAAAAAGATTGATTATGGAATTAAATTAGTTATAAAGTATCTTACCTATTTACTTAACCCATCCTACCGCTAAGCAGTGTGGGGCTTCTGTCCGTATAACTTGATCCTCATATCTCTTTCCTGTACCAATTGCTTTCTTCTCGACCAATCCAATCCTCTCCGGTCAAAGGCCTCCTTTTTCCACTTTTCTAGGTCTTCTACCTCCCATCTGTGTCTCATGAGTGGGTCTTGCTAATCTGTCTTGTGGCATACGAGAGATGTATCAGAACCACCTTGGCTATTGTACCTTCTATTTTCTCTTTGCATCCTGCAGACCCAGGTTATATCGGACAGTGGTATTCTTTACTCGGTTTCTCCTTGTCTTACCTTCAACTCTACTAACGCATCGCCATCGCTTGTAGTTGACTCTCACATTTCCTTGTTAGTGTCCAAGACTCCCCTGAGTAGTTCAGGATTGGAAGAAATGTATTTTTGAAGACCTTAAAATATTTTCCAGCTGCCTCAGTTTTCTCTCTTATATCTGTCCACTCAGTGGGTTCCCAGGTATTTCAAGTCGCTAACTTGTGCAATTCGTGTTGCATCCAGTCTAGTGTCCAAAAAAATTAAACAATTTTTTTTTATTTAACTTCCTTTTATTCTATACGCAGGTCATTTAAGAAGTCCTCTATTGTAAAAATGATATAATTATAATAATAAAACTTAATTCAAAAATACTTTGCTGAATACGCTGAATTTTTATTTAACATTTGCAATTTAACACTTTGTTTTGTATATTTACTGATTCATAGAGGTAATTTAAATTATATATATAACTATTGTTTTGTTGTCAAGACAAGAAGTGAGTTCTTTCTAAGCAATAGTGCTGAGGATGACCCACATGTTTGGGTTGAAACATCGGCTAACCCAATAAAAATAAATTGACTGAAATTCCTGAAAATTTGGTTTCATCCTTATAATTGATCAGTCGACTAATTATCCATCTCTAAATATCAAAATCAGATTGATGGAGGTCTAACAACTGAAACCGATCCTGAAAGAAAAATAAACTATACAGGAAGATATATTTTTATTTTAATTGATCTACACCTGTAACATTAAACCACAATTCCAGATTGATGATAAAATTATCTAATATAGTAGTTGAAGCTTAATTATTTAGATTAGTAGTTGATATGACCTATGCCAAAAATTAAACATTATTTTTAATTCAGCTTATTTTATTTTTTTTAATTTTGTTTCAGACATATGAAACTCCATCACGCTCGAGGAGATGATGTCATGATAGAAAGAGATGGTAAAAGAATTTGGACATGCACACAGTGTGATAAAACATTTATATCTCGAAAGGGTTCCATAATACATCAAAGGACACATACTGGAGAGAGACCATATTCGTGCAGCGTTTGTCAGAAACGTTTTATTGACAGTAGTACTCTGATGAAACATCAAGTAATTCATCAAGCTGTTCGACCGTTCAGTTGTGTCATTTGCCACCGAGGTTTTAATCAAAAGGTGGCTTTACAGCGTCATGAAAGAACACATGGGCAGCTTCAGCCAACTTTTAGATGTAAATATTGTCCCAAAACTTTTCTAGTCTCCAGTAGTTTGCAAGCCCATGAAAAAATCCATTCTGGTATCAAGCCATATACTTGCCAATATTGTCCATCACGGTTCCATACCTCTACTGCTCAAAGGCAGCACGAAAGGGTACATACCAATGAACGCCCATATGCTTGTAATTACTGTCCGAAAGCGTTTAAAGATTCTGGAACCTTATTTAAACATCAGGTTATACATTCTGGTATTCGTCCGTTTGTTTGTCCTATTTGTTCCCAAGGCTTTACTCAGAAAGTAGCTTTAAGGAAACATATAAGATCACATGTCTCAAGGCATGTTGGAAATAATTGTGAAGTTTGTGATAATGTTTACTTCAATAAAGATGAGCTTTGCAGTCATATAGAAGAGCATATAGAGCAACACCCAAGCCTTACTCAGGTAAAATCCATGGCAACTTCGTCCATAAGAGTCAAACAGCAGCCAGTTAGTAGTCCCGAGCCTCAAGAACCAGAAGTAAAAGAAAGTGGAGATTTAAGTGATTTGGCTACTCTATGTGATGTTGCAATATCTACTGCTGGTGACCTTGCACACACTTATCCTTGCCTTCATTGTGGAATGAGTTTTCGTCGCAAAAAATCTCTGGATTCTCATCTTTCTATTCACAGAACTACTTGTAAGTATTGTGATCGTCCCTTTCCTGACAAAATATCTCTTGAAACACATGAAAGGAGATTATGTGCCGAATCTACTCCTCCTCAACAAAATGAAGACAAACTTGTTCCTGTTGTTAGAGAGCAGTACCTTAAACATCCCAAGAGGTTTTTCTACTGTGAACGCTGTGATAAAACATTCAGTTCTCGTAATGGATATATCATACACCAGCGTAGTCATACTGGTGAACGTCCATACCCATGCCGGTGGTGTGAAAAGGCTTTCGGTGATTCAGCTACTAGACATAAACATGAACGCATACACACCGGAGAAAGGCCATTTAAATGTTCTCGTTGTCCTAGAGCTTTTAATCAGAGGGCAGCGCTTAGGGCACACCAGGTAACACATACTGTAGACAGAGCTTTTCTTTGCAAATATTGTCCCTCTAGTTTCCCCTATTTTGCAACTTTAAAAAGACATCAGCAAGCGTGCCACAATGAAATTGCTTGTCCTCTCTGTAGTATTTCAACGAATGATACGAAAAAGTTACAAGCCCATGTTGTAAATAAACATGTGAATATGGTTAATGGCAGTATATCCTGTGTTCTTTGTGAAACAGGAATGTTTACTGATCCTGATGAATATAGTGAACACATTGTTTGGCATGGAAAACAACAAGCATCCAACGCAAACAAACCAAGGACACCCACAAGAAGAAGACAAGTCCTTAGGAAGAAACCTATCAAGGAAGAAGTGGAAGAAGAACCTGTAGAACAAGTCATCGAGCAAACCATCGTTACGGATGACTTTCCAATAGTTGAAGGAGATTATACTTGTGATATGTGTGGAATAATGTACCAGGATAAAGATCAGTTAAAAGAGCACATTCCTATTCACTTTTAAATAATCTATGTTACTGATTATAGATTCGATAAAAGTTTCACAATCATCACGCTTCCATCAGTGCTTGATCTTTTATTGGTTTTTATATCAAATCTTAGTGCCTTATCTTTCCTCCAGAAAGGCTCTGTTACCAAAAATTATAAACTAAGAAAAATACTTAAATTTGAAAACTTTTATATTGCAAGTATGATTTCAAATAACAATCATATGTTATTGTAATTTTTAATATCACTGAATTTGACCCTTTCTATTTAATGTAGGAAGTAGGTCCAATGGATTGATGTTCTTGTATGTTTTTTTTGAGTATATAATTAATAACTTACATAAGTTGTGTAAATTTTATAAATTGTATATTATTGCTATTTAATAATAAAATTATTAAAATCTACTTATTTTTATTGGCATGTTTAGTGTATCAGATGCTTTTTTCGAGAAAAGCTATATTTGTAAATTATTTTAAGTAGGTAGCTAAACTTATTTTAGTTCGACTTCTGATTATGTATGTAGAATATTTATACAAATAAAATTCTACAATTTAGTAGCTAATGTAAATAAAAGTATATTATTAGTATAGATTGTATATTTCATCAGTGGACAAATTTTTAGTTAAATTAAGTAAAATTAAAAAAAATAAAATAGTATATAATATATAAATTTCCTTCTAAATATTGATGTCAATAAAATTTAAATATGATTTTAGTGTGATTGTTTACCCTTAATTTGCCCATATGATTATTTTTGGAAATCACTAAAATTATGAGTAGGCACAGTTATTTTTGGTTTTTCAATTCACATATTTAAATTAAAAAGGTTTATGTCTCAAAAGGTAAGTTGGACAACTGTTTATTTATTATTAATTAACAGATACCTTCTTTTAGTTATTAAAGCCAGTGATAAAAGTTGACTTAACTGCTTTATTTTTCATGATTGCTGTCTGAACTTAATATTTTAGTGGCTACATATTTTATGGTATACTTTACAATGTTGCTACTTTTTCTCAAATAAGTAGGTTTGTTTCATATATACACATGATGTAATAACAAAAGGAAACTGTAATTTGAAAAACAAAATTTGATACTTAGAAAATTAAATTATTATTTCATATAGTAGGGCTACAAACTGTTTAATTTATGCATAAATGAACTATTCTCAAGTTGTGGAGGCAGTTCCTACCAGAAGTATTATTGTTCCATCTCAAATCTTATATCCACTCACTATATTATTCTTTTTCATGTGTACAATTTTACTGATCCTTATGCGATATCAAACAGAGAATAATATTTCATATTATGATTGTCAATTTATAAATCATTTCCCCTTCTAATAATTGTAGAAAGACTGAGACTTTGTGTTTGATATGAAATAAATGGTTAAAAGTTTTAGGTAATTGTTTTATATTTGATATAAGAACCAGATTACTCCACATTATTGTTTTAATTAATTCCTGAATTTAGACAGTGTCACTGTTATGATTTCCATAAGAATTGGACACAATTTTAAATTACTCCTCTACTGAGTAATGAGATATACTACATCATGGACCTATAGAAAATCTGTCATCTGTTGATGAAAAAAAACTCTGTCTGGAATAACCTTTTTTTTTTTACTCCAATGAATACCAAATTAAGATTAGTACTGGACTTTCTGATTTGTTAATAGCTTAGTTGTGTCATTACCTGGTATCTTGTAATATGGTTTTACAAAAAATTGTTTATTGTGGACTTCTTGCATCAAGGCTTACCGCTATTATTTAATAGTAAACATTTTTACAAATCTTTAAACTATCAATTTCGACTTTCTCACTTTGGCTGGAATAAGTTGGTTTACCTGTGGGATAACTACAATCTCTGCCTTGGTACACGTAAAGTCAAACTATAAATAATATGTGAAAACTAATTTCAGTAACACCATTTGAACTTCGACATTAAATATTTAATTTGTGTATACTTTCCATCATGATACAGGGTTATGTTAAACGGGGCTTAAGTCACAGGTGTGTACATATATATACACGATAAGCAGGCAAACTACAAATTTTAATTACATGGAGAAATCTTAATTAAGGTTAGTATTGCAGTGTTTCAAAGTGCTTTTTAACCTGACAATTTAACGTGCGTACTAAACATCCTGTGTCGTTTACAAAACGCTGATGGGGTTTTCCGCCTTGCCAAATGTCATTTTATAAGAAAGTAATAAAATTAGATTTGTAGGTTACAACGTTGTAGTCAAAATTCTTACATATTGAAGTAACTAGTTTTCTAGAATGCTAATAAATAGTTATTTATAGATCATCATATGCGACTCTAAAAGTGGTAGCAAATTGTAGCTTCTTAGTAATAACCGTTGAGATACTTTAACTTCTATATAGTTTAGGGTGTCGACACAATAATTGCCCTTAGTGAATAACAATTACAATATCTGTAAAACTAATTCTTTTCTATCTTCACATAAAATTTAATAGCTTATATGCCTCGGGCACAAATTCTGATCTTTAACAGATATATCACAATCAACCATCCAAGATCAAAATCAAACAAAGTTTTTGTTAACATTTAAGCTTGTATATTTCAATTTGTGCTGATTTCCATGATGTTGAACAATGTTTCCGTAGTTTTCACCAGTTGCTGAAGAGTTTTTATATACAAATAACATGTTAACGAAACCATTGAATACAATGAATCTAGTTAAGTTGTGATCCAGGATGGTTAGGTGATCCTAATAGTTCTTTCGCAACCCCTTAACCGATATAGGAACAGAAGAAAAAGTCCTAGTACTTAATGCAAGTAATAATAACCCGCCAATTATCAACACTCCAATAGTCACAAAATATCTCGGAATGTTTAGACATCCGAAAACTATTTCTTTACATGCGTGGAATTGAGTAGGTATCAAGCAAGAAGATTTGGATAGTTGGGACGTTTTTGTTAGTTATGAATGACAACAGGTGTATTGAGGACAGAATTTAGTTTATAATTAAGGCATGCAATAATTACCCCGTATATTTCTGTTATGAACAAGATGGCGTAGTTATAACTGAACATGATTTTTTCTCTATCAGATTTCTGAAAGCAATCAAACTATACGCTTACTTTCTTTTCAACTAAATGTGATTAAAACCACCCTGATTGCCTTGCGGTAGGCTGGTGGTTGATATTAAGCAACGACCTGTCCATCGATCGTCAACTTGCCATGTTGATCGTGTCTGTAGAGTTCTTTACTCCAACTTTTTTTTTCAGTAATTTAATCCCCCGAGACCCGGTACAAAGGGTTCCGCAACTCCTCCATGTGGTTCCCCACTTCCTTTTTTTTCCCAACTTTAATGCACTGCGACCTCATTGAGACCTATTGTGCGCCATCCTCATTCTGTTAAGACATGCCAATAACCTTTGCAAACTGGTACTCGTATATCCTAATAGGATCAATCAATTCTCAGAGCCTTAGGATCAGTGATCAAACAAATCTAAAGTAGAAATGCCACATCCTAGTAAAAATATCACGTCTACATATAATATGGTTGCATAATCCAGACCACAGAGCCCCTAGATAGGTGAGACAGTTCAAACCAGGCTTAAGAGGTGCTTATTATGTCGGTAGTGACCTGCACATTCATACAAATAACGGTACTCTTTTTCCTCATAGGTTCTTTATATAGAGAGAGGATTACCCCATACCTCGCCATTTCTCGCATACGGTGGAGAGCGGTTATTCTAGAGGTACAAAAAAACCTATTCTACTATTTATAGTGGGAGGATCGAGATTCATTCCGTGGGTCCGACTCGAAATACATTTCAACACGCCTAGGATTCGAAAGTGCGTCGCTGCACACGAGAATACTAACACGAGTAACGTCCTAACACACTTCTATTAAATTATGGTACTCTTATCCATAAATAGAATTGATTAACTTCTCTTCGAACAGTGTCCTTTAACCTTCTAATTAAATTTTGGAACCGCCTCCCACCTTGATTCCGCAGTCTTTTAAACCACCTTCAGTAAAATACGGTTGCAGTTTTCTTTTATCTCGGAACAGTATCCATAGCAGTTTTGAGTTTCTAAACCTGTGTCTAACATATATTGTGCCCTTAAACAGTTTTGCATACGACTACTGTTTCAAGATTATCAACGTGCGCCATCTATTGTTCGACCATGATGTAAAAAAAATATTTATGATTAGAAATAAAAGCATATTTAAAAAAATCTATATATTTTGTTTATTTTAATCAGTTTTGTTTGTTTTCATTTGTGTTATTGTTTTATGGATTTTATTTCTTTACTTACTTATTTAATCTAGTCCTCCATCAGTGCTGAGCGGTGTGAGGTTCCTTTTTATAGAGCCTAACCTGAGAATCTCTGTTCTGAGCCAACTGCCTTCTTCCTCCAGTTCATTACTCTCTTTTATTCCAACTTTTCAGGTCTTTCTTGGTCTTCCCTGTGCCCGCCTGATTTGCTCTTATGGTGACGTTCCTCACTCGATCCCTTCTTGTTTTCCCCTATATTTTTTTTAAATACCGCATTTCCATGGCTTTGATTGGATATGGCTTTTGTTTTTGGAAGTGAGGGCCCAAGACCCGCTTACATAAGTTAATATAGGGAGGAAAGTATTTTAAAAAATAACCTTCTTAGTGGTCAGCGAAACTTCTTTCTTGTCCAGGAAGCCATTCTTGAGGAAGTGGAAGCATCTTCCAGCCGTCATGATTCTTTCCCTTTATGTCTCCATCCATATTCGTTTAGGTTAGCACCAAGGTATTTAGACCATAACATGGGAAGAGAGAAAAATATCTGATAAGTTATGTATATCCTTCCACAGAACTTTGAATCCATTAATTGGAAGATATTCTCCTGTTTCTCTACCAGGCCTTCTGTGCTTTCGAGGACCAGTAGTAGACCATACACAGCAACATAAAACACTTGACATAATTTGACCAACATTAAATCTTAAGGAGCAATATAACCCCATTCGGTGTCGTATGTATAATTTAATAGGATCCATGAAATCTATCAATGAAAAAATCCAAAAATTTTTAACTGCAAATTTTATTCTGGTCATTATTTTTTTAAAATATTTACCGCCCCTCGTATATTTCCATTACACCTTTATTAGAGAATATTAACCTTCAACTGGGGATGTAAGAATTTCTAATGTTCTTAGGCTGGTGGGACTTTGATGAACTTGAATATTTTCTAAAAATTATTTTAATAAAAATTTTAAATTTTATCTTTTAAAAACTAAGAACATAGGAATTGCATAAAATAAAAATTTCCAATATTACTCAAAAAACACGGGACCAACAACAGCCCTGATGAAGACCTGCATAGTTGGATCAAAACTTAGGCTTAATAAGTTTCCAATATTTGAACATTTTTTATGACTCCTTCTTCGAACCATATTTTCCCTCAAATAAAAATATTTGTAAGAAATAAAATTACAAATTATATTGAAAATTTGAACCAAAAGAATCGTAATTGTAATGCTAGGTGTATCCTAAAAAAAAGAACTTTATCGATGGTTCAAGAAGTTACGTGAAAGAAATTTTAACTTTGTAGAAATTCTTGAATTTTTTATATTTAAAAGGAAAACCTGATAACTTTAATATTTGAAAAAAAAAATGTTTATGTTCATACTCTTCATCTAACAACTATTACTTTTATTATTTTAAAACTTGATCTATTTTTTAATAGAAAGAATGATCTAAGAAGCTTTGGAAAATACCTTCTTAAATCCATAAATTCTAAAAAAAAATCGATACCTATTGAATCATTATGCAAAACTTGCATGTATACCATTGCTAGCAATGCCGCCGCATGGGTGAATCGGGAACTCTTTACAGGCAATTAATTAAGAATACCTACAATTTACTCAGACTTGTATTAGTAAAATTAAGGTGTCTTGGATGATTTAACTGCTTAGACATTTTTATAATAATTAATTACCTCTAAATTTCGATATTAGGTCATATAATGGATGGCGACGGTATTGAAAAAGAGTACGGATTTGCAGTATACATCAATCCGAACCGAGAAAAGTTAGAATCGAAACGAGACCTTGATGTCGGAATCCTAGAAGATGTTATCCGTAACCTGAAACCTATTGGCCCTTGGAGAGTTTCGAAAACATGGTGCGGACTTCTTGCAGCTTTTTGTATGGAGAGCGACGCTTTGGATCTCTTAAATACCCCTCTTAAAGGAACGTTTGGGTCATCTGTCCAGCTAGCCAAATTTTGTAATAAAGATGTGAGGAGCAAACAGGTTTGAAAAATAAAAACTTTCAGTAATTTTGACTTGGTATTATTAAAGTTATTAATAAAAATGCTGGAGATATCAAACAGTTAATCTCCAGTCTAAGTCTCAGATAACAAATCATTTGTTGGAAAAAGATAAGTGATAGTCAGAATACTCATATTCAACTTACAACGTATGATTGATCTAAATAAATATTGTTATTAAAATCAGTCATTTTTAATTGTGTAACAATTTATGTTGTTTTATTATATTTTGCAGGTATTACTTCTGAGGGATGTCCCTTGGGCGGTGCCTCTTCTGGAAATAAAAGCTACCCTCGAGAAGCAAGGGATCTTTCCCCTTTCCATTGAACGTTTAAGACAGAATATTAAAATAGAAGTATGTTAATTGACAAGTCTGTATAAACATTCCATTTATACCTCTCACACAATTCGTTAGCAATCTGATTGACAACTCATCCCACATCATTGTCAACACTAAAAAGATACGGACATAATCATAACTAACGGTTACATTATTACAACCAAAAATAAAACTTTAGCTATTAGTCCGTGGTACTGACCCCTTTTTATCAAATTATTAACGCCTGAAATTTCGTAAATAGTTTCATCTCATCGTAATCTACAACTATTTTATTTACGAAAATTCTCGGAATTGGAGCGTTTTCAATCTGGAGGTCGGCAAACTTTGTATATTTAATCAGGTACTAAAACTCGTAAGTACCCATTTGCTTTCCACTTGAATCGTAAGATTATTTGAGCACAAAGTCGGAAAAAAAAAGACGGTCTTCAAAAATATTGAGCCGTTTGGCGTGACCTACACCCCCAAATTTTCAAAAATACAAGGTTATATAGGCTAAACGGCCCAATATTTTTGTAGGATATACGGCCCAATATATTTATTTATTAGGATATATTTTCTTATCTACATTAATGCCATGGTAATAACACATTAACTTTATTAATTTGGCTTTTCAGTTGACAGAATGACTCCAATTTCAACATTTTCGAGTAAAGTTATTTTAGTGATATTTTTAGTTGTAAAATTTATAATATCTGTACAGACAGTGATTGTAAGTTAATTACAGAGTAGGTATTGTAGTTTGAAATATAGAACTGTGAATGAAGGTACATATTTTTCCACTAGAAATATCACTAAAATTAATAATAAAAAATGTTGAAATCGGAGTTAGTCATTTTGTCAACTGTAAGGCTCAATTGGAAATATTCTGTCCTCCTCAGGAATAATATAATCTTGATCATGCTCCACGATCCTCATTCAATTCTTTACTTAAGTTATAATTGAGATGCTTTGTACGGCATTATCCTTATCTTTACTTCTCGGTGATTATTCTCCAACCAACTTTAGCGTCGTATGTCAGCTGCTTTTCATAATCTCACTTGTACACATAATGCCAACTTAGCTCGGTATGTCGCCGAATCGCTAGATCTATGCAGTTTCACCTAAAATCTCTGTCAAAGTGACTATTTTACTATTAGTTGAATGTAATAATTGGGTATTTATGGCAACATTGATCGACCTTCTACCAATGGGTACCATTGGAACAGTTTCTATAAATTATATATTTAAATATTTGCTGTTTCAAGTAACGTGTTGATATCATAAATATATACATGCTCCTTGAGTTTAAAGACACATTAAATTATCTTATTTTACGCTCTAAAATTACTTTTTTCCCGTATCAACAGGTGTCAGATACTGCACATTATGACACACTCTTGAGAAATGGACTTGACTTCTTTGGGGTTACGAGATTTTCCGCTGTTCCTGAGAGATGGCGGAGACCAGCAACAGATTTACCCCCCGACTCAGTTATACAATGTTATAGATGTCAGGTATGTGATACTAAGATGATACTGTTGTTTATTTTTATCAATTTATTATTTTTAATATTTGCTTGTTTTCTGGGTTATCAGCTATAGATGTTTAATTTCAGTCACCCTTTCTCCTGGAGTATGCGATGGCTCACAAAATAGATCATTTTAAAATAATTACATAGAAGAAAAAAACACCTTTATTGTCATGTAATTAGTATCAATCCTCAATCCCAATTAACCAATTAACAGCTAAATAAATACCTACTTTATAGAGGCTAGGCACTAACAGATCCAGGATTCAATTTTGGGGGGGGAGGAGCTTCAGCCCGAAAGATTTTTTTTTTGTATATATGTATTAGGATAATTTCTTCGGAAGAAAGAAAGAAACCAACTACCTATATGAAATGGTGTTAAAGTGATTCTTGAAGTGATATTAAATATAATTAGATGAACAATAATACTTTTAGAGATTTTTTTCAATTAACATGGTTATATTTTATCATTTTGGGGGAGGGGAGAGCTTCAGCCCGAGAGGAATAAATAATCTTAGGAGGGGTGGGGGAAGGTTCATCACTCTACAGCCAGCAGCAGAAGAAGGACCTCCTCATCAGCTCTCTACTGCAACTGAAGACTCCCGGTTGTTTAGCTTGCGCCCTTTAAAGCTGTCAAGGCCAAACTTATCACTTGGGCCAAACCTTGACAGAAACTCATCTGAGTAAGGGCAGCGTCGCGCTGACAAGCCGAGTATACTTTCCACGCATCATGGTAACATCCGTGCAGCCCCCGCAGGAGAAGATGGTGCTCGAAACCATTGAAGACGATGATACTAGAGGTGCCAAGAGGGCACTAGAGAATGATGGTTTCACGCAAGTAACCAAGAAGCACTCCTTCAGGTTCAGGCCTTCAGAACAAACTCAGGCGATCCCAGTGACCAATCGTTTCAGCCGACTGGCTGAAGAAAAATCTAAGCTCCCCCCGCCTATAGTAATATCGCCACCGTTAGCGATGAAAGACCTACAGCAAACGCTGCTCACCCGAGGAATCTCGAAATTCTCGATAAATTCCTCTTCCAAAGAAACCAGGCTCTATCTGGAGTCCGAAAAGGACCACTTTGAAGCCACATTAATGCTGCGCGATGATCAACGCGTGCAGTTCCACAGCTTCGCACCTCGGGGAACCAGGAGGTCGAAAAAATATGTATTGTATGGGTTCGATCTTGACTACCCTGTCGAAAACGTCACAGAAGAACTCAAAGAGAGACTCCATGGCTTCAAAATGGCGAGAAGGCTGACAAGGAGACAGGACACCGAGCCGCCACGCCCAACTGAAATGATACAAATTATAACTGAGGACACGGTGCGCCTGTCCCACATCAGGAAACTAAAAGACATCAACAGAGTTCGCTTCAGAGTAAGCGAATTTAAAGAAGCTGTAGCTCCAGTGCAGTGTCGCAACTGTCAGGAGTATGGACACACAATGAAGTATTGTGGCCTAACCGTCGCTTGCCCCTGGTGTAGAGGGACACACCAACTTGAGCATTGCCCTATACGAACCCAAGAGCCTCCTAAGTGTAAACATTGCAATGGCAGCCACGCATCATCCAGCAGAGAATGCCCCGTGAGACTTCAGATCATAAAGAAGAGAACAGAAGTCTCTACTGTCGCACAAAATAGATCTACACCTACAAACAAGTCGAGTAGACGTGTACAGACCGGCCTACCATATTCCACGGCTAGTGGCGCAGCTCCGGCCCAATCAGAGGAGCCCTCTGACCCCCACCACCAGCGCCATCCCCACCACCGGAACCATCCCCACCACCAGACTACCTCCATGGGTGCCGCAGAGGGACTGGCGCCAGAACCAGCCCAGCCTCCAAGGTCTTCAGACTCAACACTAGCCTCCCTGGTAGAGAAGTTGCTGGACAGAATGGACACCATGCTCCATTTCATTACAACACTCCTGCAGACTGTGATGCCGAAGCCGACTCATGGTTGATCACCATGTGATCAACTATAACATCAGAGGCCTCGCTCAGAAACAGGCCGAAGTCGAGCTTCTCCTCCAGCAGCATAGGCCTACAGTGGTGGCGCTGACTGATACTATGCTTCACACCTCGACTCGTCTGTACTTTCAGGGGTACACTGTGTACCGAGAGGTGTGCGCACCAGGGTCATGTGAGGGATGTATCTCGTCAGAAGAGATATACCGTCGAGAGCTGTTCAGAACCCAGTGGATCCAACCGAGGGAACTCACTTAGTCACAGCTGACGTGAGACTTAAGAGTCGATTCACGTTCACCTGTGTCTATAGGAGACCTAGGGCCATACTTACATCTGCCAAGTTACTGCTACAACACGCCCAGGCGACGAGTCGGCATATAGTCCTCGGGGACTTCAATGCTCGACACTCTTCCTGGCTGTGTGGTAGAGATAATCCACTGGGGAGGTACATCACCAAGACTAGGTTGGTCGTCTACCACCCAGGTGTACACTTTCCGGCATTCAGCCCGACCTGATTGGACTTCAACGCTGGACCTGCTACTAATCAGGGATCTGCATACCATCACAGATTGCCAAGCGATCCCGTATGGACCATCTGATCACCGGCTTGTGCTCTACACAATCGAGGGCACACCCGCCACACCACCGGCGAGTAAATACTTACTCCATAAGGCCGACTGGAAAGGATACAGGTCCTGCGTTGAAGCCAGTTTGCCGGCGGTAACGCCATGCCGGACAGCAGAAGAGGTTAACGAGGCGGTGGATGTCATCACCACCACTGTCCAGGATTCAGCCAACCAGAACATTCCTAAGTTTGCCCCGCAGCCCAACACAATAAGGAGACCGCCACGTCACATCCTAATCCTGATCAGCCAAAGGAACAACCTGAGGAACATCTTCCAGCGAACGCGTGACTACAGCTTGAAACCGGCCATCAATGCGATGACCCGGCAGATAGCTAGCCTCATGCGTGACTGGAAAGCTTCACTCTGGCATGAACAACTCCGGAGGACCCATGACCATCGCCTGTTCTGGAGACTGATCAGGACATTCGTGAACAAGAAGAGGACTGTCCACCTGACGTCGAGGAATGAGCTGCTCACAGCTAAGGAACAGGCTGAACTCCTGGCCAAAAGCTATGAAGCGAGGACTAAAAATGCACCACCAATACCGGAGGGACCACCGCTACCCAGTCCTAACGATGAACCTGTCTTCGCTACCTTCAACCAGCTAGAGTCGATACTACGGCGCACCAAAGGAAACAAATCGTCTGGACAGGATGAGATACCGTACGTTCTGTTGAAGAAGCTCCCTAGGAAGGATAAAGCCTTCCTACTGAACATCTTTAACTCATGCCTCCAAATCTCATACTTTCCCAACGCATGAAAACAAGCGATCGTAGTACCGCTACTCAAGCCGGCGAAGAAAGGGAACTTAGCTGAGCACTATCGTCCGATCAGCCTCCTCTCGCGCATCAGCAAGATTTTTGAGAGGCTAATTCACCACCATCTAATGAAACACTGCTGGAAGAATGACGTCATACCACCAGAGCAGACTGGTTTTCAGAGAGGGGTCTCATGTGACCATCACTTAGCGGAACTCCAGGCCCATACATTAGACGAGATGAGTCTCAATAGAGCTACGGCGCTCATCTCTTTGGACTGCAGCCAGGCCTTTGACTGCGTGTCCCACACGCATCTACTCCGCCGCCTGGAAGAGTTCAGGTTTCCTGCCACTCTATGCCGAATGATCCGAAGCTACCTCAGCGGAAGATCTCTCGTCGTACGAGTTGGCACAGACTGCTCGATACCACCTGTGGAGTACCTCAAGGGTCTGTGCTAGGGCCAATACTGTTCGTCGTCTTCACGGCACCAGTAGTGGCACTCAAGCATACAGGAGCGATGGTAGCAGCGTATGCGGACGACATCGGCATCTACGCATCCAGAATCAATGCGAAGACTGCGCTCACTCTGGCACAGAAAGCCTCAGCCACCATCATAGAAGAACTAGAAGTAATCGGTATCAGAGTGAACCCCGCGAAGACTGATGCCATAGTCATGTCGTTCCAGAAGGGAAAGAAGCCACTACCCAACAACTTCACCGTCGGAGGAGTGGACCAGAAAATCTCCACTTCAATCGTCTACCTCGGCCTCACAATGGATAGGCATTTAACCTTTTCCAGTCACGTCAGGCAGAGGATCAAGCTGGCACGGCAAAAATCCCATCGGCTCTACCATCTACTGAATTCGCCGCAGCTCTCACTGAGACTCAAACTGCAAATATATAAAGCCATTATAAGACCCACCATGCTTCACGGGGCCTCTCTCCTGCGCTACCTATATAACACTACACTCAAGAGACTACAGGGCTTCCAGAGTTCTATCCTTCGACGAATTGTCCGGGGCACCACCCTGCAAAGGGCTAAGAATAAAAATATACGAGAGGAGCTCCAGCTCCCCTCGGTACCTGAGTTCATAAGCCGGAGGCTCATCAAATTCTTTGATGGGCTGAAGGCTTGTGCCAACCCACTATTTAATGTCATTTCACCACCAACCAGACCAGGAAGGTGGCAGGGTAAACTCCCTCTGGTGGACATATTCGCCGAAGGATGTGGTCTGGACCCTTGAGTCCAGATCCAAATGTATATATTGTGAATATTGTATTGTATATTTGTTAAATAAATAAAATAAACCTGCTGAGCTGTCCCTCCCTGCTCAATATTAAAATTAAGGCCACTGGCCACAAGTGTATAAAGTGTCTTCAGCACACTTAGCCAAATTACACCTTAAAATACCTTCGGGTAAAAAAAGGTAAGCATATGCTGAGTATATGTATGCTTATGTGTATACTTATACAGAAAATTGTATGGTTTCCTTATGGAGGGTAAGAAAATGCCCCAAAGTCAAAAATCGTCTTCCCGCCCTTTCCTTCTATACCTCCTTACCGAGCATTCATTTACTGGACTACTAGACTAGATGTGATAGTTCGGTAGCTAGTAGTATAATCAGCTCTCAGTTTAATAATCATGTTAACTTTATACAAAAACGATAAACTTTAAACGATAATAGTAATCTTTTCGACATTTAAGAATACTGTATTTATATTTAAAATATGTTGCATGAGACAGAACTTCTGGCACATCGCAGCGCATTGCAACTTGCCGGCCAGGTGCGTGCGGTGCGGAGGACCCCACTCGGTGGAGACCTGCCCGCGGCCGAGGAGCGACCCGTTCTGCTGCCAGTGCGGCGGGCCCCACCATGCCGCCTACCGCCACTGCCCCGTCAGGCTTCAGCTATCAACTAGTCCTTTAAGTTATCCTATGCCTGTTGCCAATAGCAAAGAAATGAGTAACCTGTAAATGTGTATCAAAATATAAAGTATTAAAACATCCACTCATTCGAAATTATTTGCGGACATTTATAGTTTTATTTTTTAAATTAAATATTGAGATGTATATTTGGATTTTTTTGTAAAATACTTTTTTATATATTTTTAATCCTACAAAGGGAAGAGCTAGACTATTAAACTCCTCAGACCTTCAGACTATTAAACTCCAAAATTATGAGCACTTCAGTTGCATTTAAACTGTTGAATGTAAAGGTGGTCTAACTTATTTTCATAATAAATAATCAATTGATTATTGAGAGTATAAACTAAATGCTTTTTAATTATTGGACAAGCTTGAAACCAGACCTGGGTTAAAAGTATTTCAATGATTATGGTGAAGAAATTTTAGATAGTTGGAAGAAATTGTGTTGAAGAGAAATTGGTTGGGAATTGCAGTCATGGAAATACAGGTGGCCAAGCGGGCTAACAAAGCCTGTGTACAGCACTGCCATTGCCTGGCAACTGGATAAAAGACAAATTGATAAAATAATTACAAGTTTGCATCCTGCATCCCGCTGCACAGGGAGGTTTTCTAACTCTGGCATTAACACCCTGTCTTCCCACCCACTGGCCCAGGAAAACCCCTTATAGCCTAAAAGGTGAGAAAAAAGAGAACAGAAAAAAAGATACAATTTGTAAAAAAAAAAGTCATGAAAGTACACAAATAATAATTTATTTTTGTATACTTCCATGACTATTAATTTATAATACCAAGTATTTTGGGTTTTGTAATGTAGTGTATCTAAATTACAAATTTTTAAAATTATTTTCAGAGAAAGTATTTCGAATACAAAATAGATAGCAAAGGTATTTTGTATTTTAACTACACAAAATACTTATACTTATATTATATATATATATATATATATATATATATATATATATATATATATATATATATATATATATATATATATATATATACATTTTGTTATAAATTTTTCCTAAGGTATTATATAAAAATTATATCTTTCTGTTTTCTTTACTGAAAAGTTCTTTCAAAGTGGTGCAAATCAGTCTTTTAACAATAATTAAAAAAACCTACTCAATTTGGTAATTTATTTATTTTGTGTACTTAAAATATAAAATACAATTTTTTTTTTTTGTACTTTAGTATCTTGGAAATAAAATAAAAATATTTTTTTGTATTTGGAAATCCAAAAATAAAATACTAATAAAAGTAATGTATTGAATATTTAACCTATAAATGAGTATGTATTGTAGAACTATTAGTTATTAAACTGTTATTTTCCATATTAAAGTTTACTAAAATGAAAATTACTAGATTTTCATTCTCTGCTATGGATAGGTCAAACGTTGTCACTCTAATCTAAGTGAATAATGTTAAGATTTCACAAATGGAAGTTCATCAAAATATTCATTAATTTAATTTTCTAAAAGGTTACTTGATGATTTTTTTGAATAAACGGCCAATAAATACCTAATTATTTAAATATAATATCATACTACAGATATTAAATTACAATAAATGTATTTAAGGTTATAAACATATCCATAAAATATTTTTATATTTCACTTCTTCTTTCACACCAGTACAATGAAATAGTATTTTAAACAATGGCATTGGCTTGATTCGGTGGATTTGAAATACTTTTATTTTTCAAACAGAAAAAAATTTAAAAGTTTACATTTAGTAAGAAAATTTCATTTAATTTCCTTGGAAACATGTGATTTACGTTAAAACATGTTAGTTTTCAGAAATTTTATTTATATTTTTTTCATCACTCTCCGTTACCTTCTATAATTTTATTTATTTGATATTATTTTCCTCCTCACACCTCTCAGTGGTAGAAGAGGAAACAATTAAGAAGAAATTATTTTTTCTAACATTCTCTGCTTTCCAAGGATATGTTATATCTATACCTTCTGACAGTTATTTCCGGAGATTCATTTTCAACCAGGATAAGCATATTTCTTTTTTTCTTCAGTTTCCAATCATCATATTCTTTCTAATTTCATATTTAGTTATTTTTTATAGTTACTGTCAATAAAAGAGTTAATTTTTTAAAACAAACCACATTACAAGTACTTAAGAGGAAGAAGTATATGAAAATTGAGCATTTATCTTAAATATGAAATATCAGTTTCCGACGACTTCATGTTTTTGAGCTAGACTGCTCATATATACACATATCATTTTGTGGGACTTGGTTATTTGGACTCGGGGGATCTCAAAACATGTATTTCCGTTGAAAACTCACATTCAAAAATTTTCACAATCGCAATACTTTCTCTCACTATATATTACATAAATAGGTAAGTGAAAGTAATATTAGTTCTGAAAATGATCATTAAGTCAATGATTCTGATCCATTTCCCCACTCCAAGCAAGTATTAAATGTGTTTATGATTTTCCTATGAATTGTCCATTGTGGAAAATAAATTGAGTGTAAAGACATTTTTCAGTGAAATAAAAATAATATAAAAAACATTTTCCATGGCATTAAAATCTGCATCGTCATCTGTCATAAAAAAAAATTACTAAAGAAAACTTAGACTTTTCAGCTAATATATCTCCGGAAAATGGAAACGCTGGTGACCTCTGCTGCAAAAACCACATGTAAAGAGATTCCTCAACTTCTGGATGACCGCTTAGTTTTAATGATTCCCATTAAGAGACACCACTATATGACTTTAACAGTACCACATGAAGCAATTCTAGTAATATATACTGAAAAACAGAACCATTTCCATTCAGTCTCTTGTCAGTCAAATTTAACTTTTTTTCTTTCTTGTGCAGCAGATTACCAGGGATTTCGGGTTAATGAGACCGTCCTGTAATTTTAAACCATTTATACAATATCATGTAATCTCTATAAGTTTATACTATCTGCATAATCCAAGAGATTTAAAATTGAAAGATACAATATAGAATCCAAAAATCAAATTCTAAAAAATCTGTCCATCTGCAGCTTTTTTCATCGAGACTACTGAACAAACTTTTTTGAGAATTAGCCAGTAATAGATTATATGATCCAAGTACCTCAACATTAGCTTCCGCCATTTTGTTTCAATATAGTTGCCGATCAGAGAAATTATATGCTCACATCTCAGGGTAAAATTTCATTTTTTTTGTAATAATTATACCAAGACTTTTAAAAAATATTAATAAATAAAAATCCGAATTAAAAAAAAAAAAAAATTAAAGATTTCCAAAACATCATTTATTCTCAGGCTATAAACAAATGAGAAAAAGTATCCACAAAGTTTTGAATAAATATAATTTATCATATTTAATAAAACAATTAGATTTTTGAACATTTCGTTACCCTTTTCATTTCTTTACAATCACAGAATAAATTATTTTATAAGAATAAAATTATGAAAATACTGTAATAAGACCTAAAAACATTTAACAAATCGATTCGCTCTGTGGTAGAATTTACATATTTCTAATTCTCTATATTCGCAAATAGCAGTCTCATTAAATAAAACGTATTTCATAAAACCACATTTATAAACAAAATATCTATATCTATAATATTAACAAATTGTTAAATACAAAAAATAATAATTACATAGAAAAAACGATACAAAGTAACAAATGACGAGTATTTACATATAAACAAAATGGAATAAAGATATTAATATTGAACAATTATTTATACATAAATTACTTTGTCACAACTAATTTTTAAAATGTAACTTATCACTGAAATTTTAATTACAAAAATAAAAATATAACTTTAAATTAAATAAAACAGCCAAAGTTTAGTACAAAATTAAAAATCCCCTGAGCAAATAAGTATTAAATGCCAGTAATTAAAGTAAAAATTATTTCATGGCTTTTTTAATTTCCCCCCTCCCCATCCTTTTTTATTTAATTTCCCCCTTTTTACATTCTTTTTACATCATATCGTCCCCATAAAGCCTAAAATACTGAATTTTAAAAAAAATTCCTACTATCAGATTTTAAACGAGACCACAAGTTCATTTTTGACTAGTTTTTTTTTTCCGTATCATGGTAATGAGACTAAATTTATTGCACTAAAAAATTAATTTGGCTGAAAATAAAGACTGTAGAACAAAACTCCTTCGAAGCATTTATATTCATTTGTTAAAACTCTTCTAAAGAGGCAGGATTGAACTATTATCGTATTAAATAGAAATTAATTCATCCAAACCACCTTTGAATAAATCATTAATACTCGATTCATAAAATGTCAGATAATTCATTATTAGTCAGCACTTAAGAAAATATTGCAGCGCGGCTGTTATATCTCTCCTTAACGTAATATACATTTATTTCATTTTTCTTGGTTAATTCCTTTTCCACTTGGGACACATAATAATTACAATTACAACTTCATTTTGATTAACCTGCATAAATATTCAAAAATATTAGTGTGCTGTGATCACAATATTCTTCTAAACAGCCGCCTGAAACAAAAAGATAGGAAAAAAATTAGGATCCTTTAAATTCTTCTTTAATAAAGGTGATTAAAAAAAGTAACTGTTATCAATGTTCTGACAATGATAAATTGGTACAGATAAATAATGGTAAAGATATGACAAGTTGGATTTTAAAAAATTCGAGTTGGACATCAAGCAAGAGGAGGACATTACGTTCCATATGGAATGTACTGACTGGGCCTTGAGTTTTATGGCCCTAAAATTTATGTTCTTCAAGATAATGCATGGGCTCACCACAATTTTGTTATACCTTCCTAGATTCTAGGGTTAATATGAGATACTTATCACATATCGTTTAGGTTTTAAAAATGTAAAATTTGCTATAATAAATTTAAAATCTAATTAAATGTAAAACAAAAGAAAATAGCCCTTAGATCCTTTGGGTATTTAGAATATGGAAAGAAACTATTAAACATTAAAAAAATAAATAAATAAAGGTTAGAATGAAAGGCACCTCTTCCATTAATAATTATTTTTATTTTTGTTTTTTTAGTCTGAAGATTCGGGTTTTTGACCCATCTTCATAGACAATTTATTCTGTTATAGGCAACATAACAATTATTTCAAATATTTTTATGTACAATATGTTTAAATATGTATCAAGAATATAGTTTTTTTTTTTTAATTTGTATTTGCCTCTACCTTAGAGAGTCATTGGCGGTAATTCTTGATTTTTATATTCTGCTACAGTGATTTGTTTCTAATAAATATTGAAAGAGAATGATGACATCTTCCTCCTTGTCTCCCAAAATATCTTTCAATGACCTCGAAAGTTTCAATTTTTTTCTCTTTTTTTCATATTGGGGGCACTCTAATAATAGATGTTTAATTCACTGAGGTGTGTTGTCATACTTTTGGCAGGTTGGTGCTCCGAGACCTCTAAGAAGGTATCCGTGTGTGAAAAGACAGTGCCCAATTCGCATTTGGCACCATATTACTTCTTCTCTTCTCTCGATTTTCTGGAGCTTGTGGCCCACTTTTTGCACTTGGTTTTTATTTCTGTTAGTTTGTCTCGTTGTGTTTACCATTGGTTTTCCCAATTTTTTAATAGCTTCTTTTTTGTTTCATAGAACCAATCTTCAACAGTGATGCAATTTATTGGTGTTATGCCTGATATCTCTCCTTTCATCGCCAAATGAGCAGCTTGGTCTGCTTTTTCATTGCCCATTATGCCACTATGGGATGGAACTCAGACAAAGACCACACTTACTGATCTTTTTCTCATTTTCCGCCATACGTGGGAATTTCCTACCATATATATTTCTATTTATATACACTCAATTTAATTTTAATTTAACTGGTAGTTGAAGGGAGCAGGGTAGCTCAGTGGGTGAGTACTGACTTCCAGAGCTCGAATCTGGCTGATGACTAGTCATTTTTCTTCAGCCGTGGGTCAACCCTTGGACAAACCCAGCCTCTATAAAGTGGATACTCTAAATTAAATAATTAATTAAGGAGGAAAACCAGGAGGTTGAGTGTGATATTGGTCCGTCACCTCGCTGCACAACCATTGGCCTTGTTATAGTACTTCCTCACATTGTACTGAACTCAAGACTCTTCATGGGTGGTTAATGGTACAGGTATTTTTTTTTTTTTTACCTGATACCTGATAAATGAGATCATTTAAGCAATAAAAATAAATTTTAACATCCACCTCATTGTCATTCGATGCATGTTAAACATTTGTCAGTTGTTTAAATTATGTTTAAACCAAAATACATTTTTTCAAACATTTGAAATAAATGAACCATTTATTCTGAAAGTGGTGTAAGTCCATTTTATCTTGTTTCAAGATAATTAAAAGGTTAACATATCTGTCAATTAAAAAATTTAGCTTAATTACATCAACTCTGGGAAAGTTTTTTTTACTGATTTATCAATTCGTAATTTGATTATGTGAATTCGTTTTAGGCAAATTTATCTAAAATAATGTATATTTACGGACTGCAAATAGACACACCACTTTCAAAAGTAGCCGCCACTTGTAAAAATAATTTAATTTGAATTTTGAAAAATCAAATATCACTTAAAATATATTTTATATTAATCTAATTTTGCTTACAAATAATAACAAGATAAAAAATAGAAGTAGAATTTTTATATTTTAAACGTTAATTATATTGTTAAAATTTACATAAGTTATTGGTAGTATTTATCTATGCTCTTCATGTGGCAGTGTTTTTAAATGTTCTTTTTAAAACGATTCATATCTTTATATTTTTTGTAAGTAATAGGCAGCCTGGCATCGTGATGCAAAGGTGCCAGGGCGATTTTTTCAAATTTTAGCGGTCTTCCCAGACGTGCAGGTAGTAAATTTAAATTCTTAAATTTTTTGTCCTCCGTCAATGTTTTATATAAAATTCCACTTTTGAGGAACCTCATTCAACATATTTGCAACCAATTTATCTTTTCTCCATTAGTGTTTTTTCTTGTCTGTTTTTTTATTGTATTTTAAGATTTTTTGTAGAAACGAAATTATCCTGTTTCATTTCATGTAAAATTAATTTATGATGTTGACTACATTGTTTTATGACATTATAATAATCCTGTGGTGCCTAAAGGAAATTATTTTTCCGTAATGCCATTCTATGATACCAAAATCTGCATTGTTTGGAAGGTATAAATACCCAGAGAGTAAAAATTTGTGACAAACTATCTCAATGTTATTTTTCCAACGATTGGACAACCCTCAACCACATCAATGCCATTTGTAAATTTGCTCAGTTCACATATCACTGTATGCAATAACATAACAATAACATCACATTGAGTCATTACATTGTATAAATGTCTCAAACAGCATGAAAGAAGCTACTTCTTGCAATCCCTTGGAAGTGGTAATTTCATATAAAACATTATGAACAAAACTACGGAAATTGGACTTACACCACTTTCATAATCGATGGTTACGCAATTTCTTCTACCGACCAATTTTAAATTGGAGAAAGCATGGACATTTTTAAAAATATCAAATACTAACTAGTGATAAATAAAAAGTTTACTCTAAATTATGTGATCTCATTTTTTTTTTTTTTTTTAAATGGACTTACACCACTTTCAAAATAACAGTCCAAATATTTATCTTTTTTTTTTTTAAAAAAAACAATGTTCCATACACATACTTTACTTTCCTGTTTTTTTAATATCTCCATAACAATGATAAGTACTTGATCAGGTCTTCCACAACTCTCCCTTAATAAGTGAGATAACTACAAAACCAACCTGTTCTTTTGGACCAACCCAAAAGGTCTATATGAGTACAACACTGGGTTAGTATAAATTCATGGATAGATAAGTATTACTGCTTAACTATTTAACTAAAATTTACCAGCGAGATTACTTATTAAGTAAACCATTAAACTTCAACATAGTCATTATAAAGCAAGCTCACCAAATATTTGTTGAATAGACTTTCTAGATAATATTATATTTTTCATACAAATAAACGCCTTTACTTCATATTTACAAAGAAGAAGGATAGATTTCAGGCTTAGTAAGAAAGGAACCTCAACAAGTTAACTACTAATAAAATTGTTTAATATAACAGATTGTAGACGAGTGTAGAGGATCCTGTTTATAGAGCCTGATCCATTTATCTCGTTCTTACACCAGCTGACTGCGTCTATTCCAGTTCATTCCTCTCTTATCGAAATCCTCCCTAATTGAACCTTCCCCTTTCTTTCTGGACCTTCCTCTCGGCATTCTTCCTTCCACTATTACTTCATATATAGTTTTGGCCATTCTTTCCTCCTACATTGTTTTGATATGGCCAAACCAGCGTAGCTTGTTTTTCCTCTATTTTATTTTCTGCTGGTTTTATTTCCAAATTGCTTCTAATCGTATTCCTGATTTTGTCCCTCTTTTCTCCTCAGGTTCATCCAAGCTTGGATATTTCTTTCATGTTTTGAGGATATAGTCCAGGATTCACTGCGGTACGTCAGTATGGGGATAAGTGTATTTTTATACACCGCTTTCTTGACATTTTTTGACACTAGATAAATAAAAAGAAAATAAACGTGGTCAGAACCAATAACCACATCTCTAGGGAGTTTCAGAGCACTCAATGAATAAGGCAGGGCTGTAGTTGAAGCCCTTTATTGTTTATAATAGTGCTCAACATGGCACTGAAGAGAGCTAAGGAAGGAATGAGACCTTTTAGGTTGGATCACAGAGAGCAACGACCAGTTCATCTCACCCTTCTGGCATATGCCGACGATATTGTGGTGTTCGGGAACAACGGAAGAAACCTCCAATACAACCTCCGAATCCTGCAGGAAAAATTGGAACTGTTTAACATGGAAATAAACAGCTACAAAACAAAAATAATGAGGAGAGGGAGATGAGAGGCGAGAGGATACCGAGTACTTCGATTGAAGGGGAGGAATTCGAGCACTTCAACAAAGACTTTAAGTATCTGAGAGCCTGTCTAAACGAGAACAGCTTGATAGATGGCAAAATCAGGGAAATAATGAGACTGGCTAGCTAATGCTTCCATTCACTAAAAACAGGCTTCTTAGCAAAGAGAGAAGTGTCAAAATAATTTCTTAAAACTACTATTTCTGAAATTTCATAAATCACAGTGGTGTTTTGTAATATATCACTAGTTTAACAAAATAGTATTAAATAAAGAAAATAATACTAACTGTTTCAATTCCTCGACAGAACATGTCTTGCAGTTCATCGATAGGAGTTGGTGCACCAGTGAGAGAGAGCGGTGGATTCCTTCTCGTTTCAGATTCTTCTCGTAACCGCTTCCATCTAGCAATAATGGTCATGTACTTGGTTGAATTATCGTAGTCTCCTAATGACTCGTAAACATGCATAAGACCTCGGTAGTCATATTCCAAACCAGAATATGTCTCGGAGAATAACTTAAGACCTGGAAAAGGATTAAACATGATATGGATTATTCTTTACATTGTTAACAAATGTGAGGCACATTATGAGTTCAGGATGCTCACTTATTCGAATGGACCTGAAGTATAAAAGTTCTGCCTTCTTATACTCTTTCATATGGTAATTATAAAGACTTGCAAGGTGACCAACACTTAAACCAACTTCATAATCATCATCTCCAAGCAATTTTTCCTTGATTTCTATAGCTTTTAAATGCATTGCTTCTGCCTCCTGCAAACAAAATTTATTAACGATTGTATATAAACATAACGAATTAATAATTGTACACAAACATAACTCATTAACAACAGCTAACCAACATAAACAAAACAACTGAAGTAACACCATAAAGTATCCAATTTCATTACTCATGTTCTACCAATAAGGACTTGTAATTAATAAATCACTAAAAACATATATCAGGAGTTTCCTTATTCCAACTAAAATGGTGTTTTCATATTGGAGAATTGGTAATGGAAACTATAAAATCTAATACAGAGCAGACTAAGCCAACGAAAAGCCAGCTCAAGGTCAGCGATTTAATCCTAAGCATTTCAGGAGCAATCAATTCAGTTCTCAATGGCAGAATAGAACGTAATAAGATAATCCAAGCAATAGAACACAATTCCATTATTATTTTTACTATAACTTTCTTCTCTATAAACAAAAAACAATGATGATATTAACAATTTTTTTACAACAAACTAAAGTGTGTCTGAATCGTTTAATTCTTTTCAAAATATATTCTGTTTCTTATCAATTACCTTGAAGTGCGACCAAGTTATTCAGTAGAAGTGATTGGCAATTGACTTGATTATACGAATGACATGCTTTAATGATTATACTAGCATAACTTAAAACCAGAAATTAAACCTTTCAACTTAAACAACTCAAAACCTTCTAAAATTTTAAAGGTGTAAAATGGACAAGTGAAGTATTAATAAAGTGAGAATTATATTCTCATGGAATCCTCGATTCAAATTACAGTAACCTCTATATGTTATTAGCATCTGATAATTTTATTAATAGATGTGAATTTGATGTACTGTAAAATAAAGAATGCATACAAATTCATTTTTGAATAAATATTTCTGAAATAGCAATTTAAATGAACAACCACTTATGCTTTTTTTTTGCTTTGCTCAGCTGTGTGTACATAACATGCCTCTTTAAAACTCCACTACATACTCCTTATAGCTTAAAGAAAACACTTCACTAATAATATTTGTTTTGTAATTATCAATATCGTTATTGGTATGTTTAATAATATATAATATCATTAATAAAGCAAGTTTTCTTTTCTTCGTTGAGAATAGCATTTTTGATATATTTTCATTTTCTACGAAAACCGTCTATAGACTTAATAAGCCATGTTCTGAGAATTCAGCAATGTAAGATCCACTCAATGAATTTAAAAGGTTACTCAGAGAAAAATGTATATCATCAAAATTTAATGCGAGTGAAATATAAGAGCACAGTAATATAATTTTTTATTTTTAAAAGATTTCATGTTAAATATATTGGAAAATCAACTGAGCCTTCCATATTTGTACATTCATAGAAAAACTTTAAAAACTACAAATGACTGTAAAGAATGTAAACAAAATTGGAATAATGATAATATTGACCATATACCAAAAGATTGGAAGGCAAAAATATGATATTGAGCTAAGACAGATGGCATAATAGCTGTTCAGGTCAAAATTCCTAATTATTATATAAAAAAAAAGTTTAAAATTAAAGAAATACAAGCTAAGATAGACTCAGGCAATGATACTATTAAAAAAAATGGAAAAATGAATCAAAAAAATATAAATCGGAACTAATTACAACAAACCAGCAACTCTACTAAACAGCGATAAGAAAATAAAAGTAAAATGGATTTATTTTATGGAATAGTTTCATAATAAATAATTCAGATGACCTTATGAAAGTATATTATTATATAAAACTTTAATTCATTTGGATTTATTGACAACATGCTTACCTTATACTTCCGCATACTTTGATATAGCCTCCCAAGATTTCCATAATGTTTTGCTGTTTGTACGTTATCCTCTCCAAAACTTAATCTGGCAAGTCTAAGCGCATCTTTGTGAAGGGTTTCAGCCTCAAACAGGAGTTTACTTTCTGAAAGTGAAACCGAACCAGACATTAGATTTCAAAGCTAACTTACACGCATTTGATAATATAAATTATTGTAGCAATAAATTTGTGGAGAGGAAGTTCACAAATGATGAACCTATTTACAAAATATCCCAAGAAGCATTTGTAAAATTTTTAAAATAAATAAGTTTATCATTACAGCTAGATATTTAAATTAACTGAATTTAGTTTAAATATTTTAATAAACAATAATTAAACAGGTCATAAATTTTAGAAAGTGAATTTTAAGTTATACAGAAAACAAACTTATTTTTACTTTTTTATCAACAAGTAAAAGATTAATTTAACGATTTAAATTTCATCACCAAACTTTAGTCTTTTTCTTTTTTTTTTTTTTAATAGGATGCAGATCAGCATATAAGAAACACAAAGAAACAGAGCTTTCTTCTCTCTTTTAAAGCTACTGAAATCTCGAAAAATCTCAAATTAATGATGTACAATACTATATTAAAGCCAGTTCTGGTGTATGGTTGGGAGACCTGGACACTACTACACCAGCATCCTAGGACAAATTAAAAGATATGAGAGAAAAATCCTTCACATGATAACGAGAGTATTCTGAGATCAGAGTACCAATGCATAGAAGAAGGACCAATAAAGAACTGCTTACAGAAAATGGTCGACCAATATCTTGGCATGAAGACTGGCAGGACATACAATCCCTCAGGAATCCAATGCACAACAAATGAATGCCTCAATAGCAGGATAAGAGACCAGATGGAAGGCCAAAAAACCAGAGGGGTGGATTGAATCAACAAAGATATAATAGAACTGTATAGAGATAACTAGAAAGAAACAGACCACGATAGACAGAGATGGAGAAGGCTGGAGATCTAAAACGCCTACAATCAACAGAAACCAAAAAAACCATGCAATATTAAATAGTTATAACTCAAAACCACAAAATCTATTAAATATATTTCTAATGGCAGATATACATATATATTATCAAAATTTCTTGAATTGATCTTTGAGCGTTATATTTTAACATAATTACTTAATTGGGAATAAGGTCAATTAATAATTATTCAATAAACTACTAAATGTTCATTGCTTCTGTGTTTATTCGACGTTTCGATCCCGTTTTTTTTTTTTTTTTATAAAAACCTTTACCGCCAGTAGCTTAATATATGTGCTGGTGGACGGTGCTGAGACAGTTGGTGTGTCCCTGGCCTGAGATATCAAGGTTCTATTTTAAATCTTTGAAGAGAATCCCATAGTTAACTTATAAAAAAAATCAGGATCGAAACGTCGAATAAACACAGAAGCAATGAACATTTAGCAGTTTATTGAAGAATTATTAAGTGACCTTATTCCCAATTAAATAAGGATATTTACACATTATGATTATAACTAAAAAAAAATTCAGAAATGTGAAAAACTAGATATTAAAACTATATCAGGAAATTCGGGAACATAACATGATGAATGCTGTCATCTTTATTATAAAGATATTTTTAATTAAAAGAGAATGGAAAATAAACATAAATGAACCTATAACACACATAATCAATAATAAATTAAAAATGATATCTGTAAAAATAATATAAAATAAAACTTACGATCTTCAGAAAAATCTGACATATGGTCCAAAGCAATTTCTTCCAGGATCAAGGCTTTCACACGCTGAGCTGAAGCTAAAAGCAAATGTTCTTTAGGCAGAAGTTGCATCATCATTGCAATAGCTTTCTCAGAATGCTTCCTATTTTTAAACATTTACAAAGATAAATATACAATTACTTAATTTAGAAAATATCATAAATACAAGTCGTCTGTGAGAATGAGTTTAAGTAGATAATATTAAATTGGAAAGTCACACAAAAGAAAGGATATAAGCTATTACTTCCATTGTTAAAGGACTAAGGATGAATTTATAAGCCAGTTTTATTTTCTTTATAAATCGAACAGCTCCAATATTAACATTATTAATATATCCTAACATATTAAGAATAACTATTTCAACATTCGTGAATAACTTTATTATTACTTTATTACTACTAAAAAAAAAAAACTATAATTTGTAAGAAGTTGTGTTAATAAAATAAATCTTACACCATCTATTTATAACAGACCTAGCTTGATAAAACCGGCCAGAACTATATTCATGAACATATAGAGCATAGGCAAGCTCTTCATGAGAAACAGCTACATGAAGATTTAAACTTCCAAAAATTTCTTCCTTCAAATTTAATGCTTTCTAAAACAAAAAAAATGGGACATTTAAATAATACTTCAGCCTAGTTAAAAAACAATACAAATCTTTAAAATGAAAAAATTCTTTCACTAAAAAAAATTATAACATAAAAAAAGGTAATGACAATTCAATCCTAAACACTTCAAATATTTTAGAATGATAGTTACTTCTATGGTTAGTTAAAGAAATAAAGATTTAAGAAATGATTAGTTAAAAGAACTGCATAAAAAATTTTGGAAAAAAAATAACTCCAGATCTTACGTCCTATCTTACATTTTTTTCAATATTTTAGATTAGCCGTTAACAAAGATAGTCTTTTTTTTGTAATTAATTAATACGCCATTGAATTTGGTATAATTATGTAGATAATCCAAAAACCCAATCAGATATAATCAGGAGATAAATCTTGGTACTCCAGATCCGAATGTATTTTCTACCTCCAAAATATCATCAAACTACTCGATAGCTGAAGCATAAAAGAATTTGTTATACGAAGAGGAGACATAATGCACAGCAGAGGACAACACGCGGCAAATATAGGTTTGTTTTGCAAAATGTTGTAGAGGTTGCATAGAATTCAAATAGGGTCCAAGTTAAAAATGACTAAATCTCAATGAAATTTCAACTAATTACTGTTGAAAACCAAAAGCAAAATATAAACATTGTACACTGTTTGAAATAGCAGCTCTGAAGGAATCAAATGATACCCATGAAAGCCAATGTTGTAGCCAAGGTGTGTGAGCAAGTATAAGGGTGCATTAATACATTAGGTATAGATGTGACTAAGCCTATGAAAGTGAACAATTTAATAACTTCTGCATCAATGACAGATCATAAAGGCTTCGACTGTTATCAAGTGCTAACACAGAATATATATTCCATTTCTTCCATGTCTTAATGCTAAGAGTGTTTATTTATAAAACAAATTAAAAATTTCACTAAGAATGTTCATCAGTGTTCACTAAAAATTTCAATGTAGTTTTTATGCCATTAATGTTCTGTTATTATTAATATAAACTAGCTGTTGATAAAATAAGTGACTTTTTCTTTGCTTTCATACTCAATTCTATCAATTTTTTCACAGCAAATAAAATATAAAGATCCAAAAACTTTTTAGTACTGAAGCATGACTACCACATGGAAAGAAAAAATTCTCTATTTCACCTATTTATATTCATATCAAACTCACGACCATTTACCCCAAAGCCAAATCTTTTTTAAAATTATTATTCGTTTAAAGGTAGAATAAAAGAAAGAAGTTTAGAAAGAAAAGGTTTTCAACTATTTCCTGTTTTAAAAAATAAACATACTATTTATTTCAATAGAAATTACTTCATAAACAATTACGCTGTCTTTCATGGAATCGGAATTGAGAAGATAAAATCCGTAATCCAAGAGAGCATCAGCGTGCTTAAGGTGCTTGTCGCCATACAGTTCAATAGCGTAATATACTGCTGTTGTAGAAAGTGCCTCAGCTTTTGCAAACTCCCTCTTCACTACACACGATTTAGAAGCCTGAGACAATGCTTCAATTAAAATTTTTGGATTGCCACGACCATCGCCAAGCTCTTTAACTGCCTTTACACTGTACTTGTAAGCCTAAAAAGAAAACCATGTTAAGTTAACAGGCACAAACTCATATAAATATAAAGAATTCATAATTAGTAACCTTAAAATGAAAACAAATAATATCAACTTATCAGTAAGTTCTTTTAATAAAAATAAGATACTATTTATATCTAAACTATTTTTTTTTTTAATTCAGAAATTTCTAAAATTTAGAAATAAAATTCTGCATATTACTTTATGCTAACAATAATTTTTATGCTGCATTAAAAATGCTTGTATATCTTTGGAAGAATCAATTATTTCTACATTTAAAATTTGGATATTATTTATAATATTAGGGCAAAAGCTTCATTTTAATGTAAGAAATTCACAAAGAAGAGAAGTAGTAGATAAGGGTATATTGGGACTCAATGTCAAGACAAAGTAAATCCTTATCAACAAGGAAGTAACCGCCTGAACTACAATTTTCTTATGTCTTATCAATAAGGACAGACAAATATGACTTTTTTGGTAAAAATAAAAAAATTTAATGCTTCAACCGCACTTAACTTTTTAAAAAGAATTAAGCAATTTCACAGCGAATATTAGTTATTTGTTACCATTTTATAATGGTTATTTATAATCTATAAAAACATAATCATCTTAAAATTATTTTTATGTTTAAATAAAAATTTAGAAGTAATATTTCAAAAAACAAAGAAATTTTGGATTAGAAAAAAAATATTTTTTAAAAAACTTGAAGTTTTTTTCTGACTGGATAACACTTTAACCCAGGGATAGCATTAAATCCATCAGCTAGGTCAAATACATATCAGGTAAAGCAAAACTCAGCAAAGTAAAATGTTATCATTATGAAGGAATTATTTGCAATTGCAATTTATATTAAACTCATCTTAAGCCCGGTATAGGATGATATTTTTAATTATTCAAATATTCCAAGATGAATTACCTGATCATAAAGACTCATGTGGAAACAATATAAAGAAAACTGGGTGTAAATCCCAGCAAAACAAATGTATTCTTTGGTATCTTTAAGTTTGGCAACTAGTTCTTCAGCCAACTGTTTGGTTTCAGTTGCAGAATCATACTGAGAATATATAACTTCTGCATGAATAAGCCTAAAAATAATTCAAAACATTAAGGTATTTCACTTTAAAAAAAAATACAATAATTTTTTTTAATTTTGTAATGTGATACTCTCATTTAACTCAAATAGAAGAGAAATGGCTAGTGATTTTAATAACTATGGGTAACAATTGTAAAAACATGCCTCAAAAAATGTCTAAGAATCTTCAATCAGAAATTTTAAAATAACAAACAATATTAATAATACAGAACATAACTGTCTTTTGAATCCTATTCGTAATTAAGTATCTTTTGACTATGTACTTGTGTGTATAAATATACACAAATTTCAACTAAACAATAATTAGACATGACTTAGAAGAGCTTTGTTAAATTACGAAATTTATTTACACAGTTTTCCATACTTGTAACAACACTCCAATGTTTTCCTCCATGCTTTCTCGCCCTCAGGCAATGTTAAACAAAGACTTTTGCAATGGTTTAGAACTTCACAGCTTTCTGTCAACCAACCAGCATCACAAAGAAAACTACCTGAAATACAATAACCATTTAAATTTTCACAACACATTTTAAAGAAAAATTATTTATGAAGGGCTGTTGTAATATAATTACTTTAATAACTGAAAGAAAGAATATCACCGCTTCATTATGGGGGAGTAAAATATTCTATATTTATATTTTTTTATTAAATACTACTTGAATGAACACCAGCCTAGTCTAGAAAGCTGAAGTACTACTGAAACCCCAAACCAGTGGAAAATGATAATCCATGAGGATTACTCTCTGTGGGTTATGACTCTTAAAAGAGATTACCCTTAAAAAAACACTTCCCTACCGAAATATCTCGATTACAGGTAAAATAGGTTTCACCAGACTACTGCGTTTCACAATTCCTCAAAGAACATGAGGGATTTCATGGCCTTTGCCAAGAAGTTGATTCCCAGTCCCCGACTTGTGGTGTTCCAGTGACTGCTGAGCAGGCGATCATGTCCTAGACTGCATTTAAGGTGTTGAGGTTCACTTTGATATGAATTAGAAGAAGAATAATCAATGAGAAATTCTGTCAGTTGGTGAATGAAAAAAATTTCCCACGGTTCAAACAATGCATTAGTGATTATAAGACAGAACTAGGACCAACCAATTTCACTATTTAAGCCTAAAGGAGAAAAAGGATATCATATGCATCAAGAAGATAGGGAAGATTGGGACACCGTTTGGCCTCTATGGAGAGTTTTTCTGAGGTGGTGAACAAATTCAGCATGTTAATTTTACAACCATATATGAATGGATATACAAAGTTCTTCAATTAAACATTTTAATGTTTTGAAATTTTTTTAGATCTTGTAGATTTATTGAGCATGGAAGGCAAATCAGTATTTATTAAGTGTCAATTAAAAAAAATTAGAAGGGATAAACCACTGTGGGCCAAATTCAAGTTCTCAATTAATACAAATAAATTTGGCCATAATTTCATTCCTACTTTTGCCAACCAATTTATAAACTAGAAAAATATTTTTAAGTTGGATATGTAAACAACACAGCTGGATTAGAACTGAATATAGTAAGTCATAACTGATTGGTATTCGTATTTAAAATTTTCAATCAGGTTAATGAGGTCAATATCTATTTTAAATACCAAATATAATGCAAATTTTTCAAAAGAATATATATGGCCATGATAGACAAAATTTTTTATCCGCCTCAATTTAAAAACAAAACTTTCCAGGAAATACAATAATTTCTTTAAATTATTAATGTAGACATATAGAAAAAGAAAAATTAAATAAATCAGAACATAATTATTTAGTATTAGAACATTCGACAGATTAAAACAAACCAGTATAAAATCTGTAAAACAGACAGCAGCAACAGTGAATATTGCTAGTTAGAATGGAAAATAATAGATATTTTTGGTAATGTTAAGTTCATTCTTGTAAATACATATCATAGAATAAACTTTTAGTTAATTATTAAGAGAAGAATTAGAATGATTTTTAAAGTGACAGGATTTCTACAGGCTGATATCTTACTACGATAGTTAACAGAAACATTATTTTAGTTTTGTAATAGTAGTGTTCTTAAGTAGGCAAGTTAAATGAAATTCAGAACTATAATAACTCTTGACTCAGCAAATGAAATCATTTTAGTAGTACACTAGGTATGTTCAGATACAGATTACAGTGAATAAACGAATAAAAAAAACTTTTAATCTGTATTAATATTACTTATAACTCTATTCGGAACAGATAAGATAAAAAATTAAAAAAAATACAAACCTAAAAAATATCTCCTCCGTTAGCTTAGTATTAAATATTATTTGTAAATATTAACTGCTCCAATTTAACTTAGATATAAGAAAACTATTTTCTGAATAGATTCGGTGATCACACCAAATCATATGCTTAGATCAGAAAAAAAATATAACAATAATGAAAGGGTAAAATAGTAAAGGGGACCCATGAAGTCGCATCGATAGCTATTGATACTGAACTATCAGCAGGTAAACCATCAAATCGATAAAATCATTAGGATAGAATTTAAGCAACACACTTCTCGCCCAAAATATGTCAACGTACAGTTGAAAAACTGATTTTCAACATTGCGCTATTACCTTTACAAAGTGGAATAAGCCTAAGAAGATTTAGTAACTAAAACAAAGCTTAAAACTCACCTAGTCTAATGCCAAGGTCTATCAGAGAGTCTTTGACTTCAAGTGTTACATCTTTGTCAGTGCACCTTTTAATATACGCATTAGCCAATTCTCTGTTAACACCAGTACCATGTTTCATCAACTCCTAAAATCAGTATTAGATAAAATCCACAGAACTGAAAAAAACAGTGTGCGTCAACTTCAATACTTACTTGAAAACATTTGATAAGCATGGTCCTGTTTTGAATTTTCAGCATTCGAGAAAAAATATCTAAATCACTAAATTCTATACTCAATACACATAGCCTGGCTTGATGGTAGAGCTAGGGACAAAAGAAGGGTCCTATCAAATGCACTTTAACTTGAAACATTGCATTAAACAAACCAGGTGCTTCAGAGACTTACCATTATGTATATGTCAAACAGGATAGGTTCTGGCAAATATCTAAAATCATTTTTAAAAAATTTATAAGCCTGGCAGACAGCTGCTACAGTTATGTCATACAATGACAAACAGTTGGGTCCATCAGTCATTTTTAAGATTTATAAATTTCAGCACTGATTAAAAGGAATATATAACTAAATGTAAGAGGTTAGGATGTTCGATAGATGGACGAATCTCAGAACATTGTTATCGCGGATTGTACTTCATCACTGTTCTATACACTACTGTGTACACCATTGAGAAAGGAGCAGACTTCATAATCAGGAGATTAGAACAGTGGTTACAAAATCAATTCACAGCACACTTGATCAATTTAATAAGCTAGTTAATGAAACATATGAAATTAACCAACATTAGAGATAGTAATCTAAGAGCGTATGAAAATTTTTGAATAATTTATTTACTATATGACTGTCATGAGACTTCTAAATTCTAATGTTGAAATCAGTTCTCAGAGAGGTTTTTTTTACGTCATCCTGCACCAAAAAAATCAATAGCTGCTGTCCATTTTTTCAAATACATTACAGTAATTGTGACTTGGTGAAAGCTGTGATTATCCCGGCGTACTTATATTTATTTTACTTGTTATTGGCATTCATTTATGAACACTCTCCTTTAAGCAACAAAGACAAGGCTAGTGGTAGTTTCTTGTACATAAGTTTAAATGTACTTTTACTTAATTTTTTTAAATATAATTTTTTTAAACAGTGTATTAGGAAGCAAATTTTGGAAGTGCGAAGTGTAGAAAAGATAGAAGTGGGATTAAATGTCAGACCCTGTAGCAAGCCTCGGATTGCATTTTGATGAAGTCAATAAGTTACGTATCATAGACCCAGAAATTTCTAAGCAAACCCTTGATTTGAAAGAAGAATGTAACGATTTTTTAATAAGTAAGCTTTCATATTTATTTTATCAAGTATGTATACATAGTACCATTATTAAATGTTTATTAGACCTCTCGGTATGAGTACTCAGTTGCTATCTATTTCTCTTCTAGATAATTCTATGATTAAATTCATTGAAAAACCCACTTAAAATATAAATATTCTGAAAAAATAAGATCTTATATAAAATTTCTTGTCTCGTTTTAGGATTTGAAAATTAAATAAACCTTATAATGTTCTAACGATGGCGAAATCAATTATTAATTCATGTCCCTATTTTATTTATTTATTTTTTGCAATAGATGTGTTTAACACGGATTTTTTTTTTTTTTTTCTTGCGTAGCATATGTGTCTGATTAAACCTTTGGCAATACTGAAACACGCAACCTAGTCCCAACTTGGATCTGGTTTCTTGTAAAACAAGAACGCATAGGAATAAGCCTCTCAGCATTGAATTTATAACAGTTAATGATAAATAGCTATTTTTGTTAGTTTTCTCTATATAAAAAAAAATATTGAGGGGAAATATACTTTTGTACTGGTTAATGTCTAATATTTAGGATAGGAAACATTCTCATTTAGTTGATTCGTCTGGAATATTAAGATAAAACGTAATATTTTTATTTTTTCCAAATCATTGAAAAATATGCACAATCTTCATAAAAATGTTTTTTTATATTTTTGTCGTGGCTTCTTGCCAGTATTACCACCTGGAGGCATAATTTTTAATTTCAAGACCTTGAATATTGATGACTTATTTATCGTTAATAACATAACCACAATAACAACACTCTAGTATATGTTGGTCACCTGTAGGATAATCCACAGGCGGATTTACGGGGGAGGCTTCAGCCCGAAAGCCCCTCCCCCCTCCCCAAAAATGGTAAAATATAACCATGTTTTATGGAAAAATATATTAAAAAATTATCTCTTTAAGTATTATTGTTCGTGCAGTTACATTTAAAAGGACTTAAGGAATCACTTTAACACCATTTCATATAGATAGTTAGTTTCTTTCTTTTTTTCCAAAGTAATTATCGTAATTTTTATGAAAAAAAAGCATTCGGGCTGAAGCCCCCCCCCAAATTAAATCCTGGATCCGCTAGTGGGATAATCCCTCCTTCTTGCCCTAGTTAGACTAAAAAAGTGTCAATCCAAATCAGCTAGTTTAAACCTTTTTATCTTTATTAACCAAAGAGAGAATCAAATCATTGAAAATTAACCGTATGCATATCATGATAATGCTTCCTCAGACAATAATATTATTTGTTTACCCAACAAGTTTAATGAGATAGAGGGCGAAGATAACATTACCTGACCTTTGCTATCGTTTTTATGTTTCCTTGGCAACTGGTTATATTTTTTCATCATTTTCAATAATGTGAACTCTTGTTATCGATAATAAAAAATAAAAAAAAAAACCATCTCGAATTGGAGATTTTAATTCTTTATATGCATAGAATACAAAAATCAGAAGCTTTAAAAATGTTTTTTTTTTTTTGCACGACATTATTGGTGTTCAACTGAACATTATCAAGCAACATTTCATTTTAAAATATAAAATGACTTATCCTTTATCCGATACCGCGTGACCAATTTATTTATTATTTGACAACAAAGTCACAAGTCACCCTAGAAAGATCTTTGAAATTCGATATTTCCACTCGAACATTCACGTACTAAAGTATATGAAAAATATGAAGTGTTTAGGAAACTTAAACAACAAACCATAATGTAATCTTAGCCTATTATTTTCACTTTCACTTCCATATAATCTGAGTTTTAAACGGAAATACACGTTTTGATGTCCCCTCAGTCTAAATAACCAAGCTCCACAAAATGGTCTGTGTGTGTGTGGATGTGAACAGTCTAGCTTAAAAACGAACATACTACCCCCCCCCCCCCCTCATCAATACCAACCCACAAACCCAATTACACATTCATTCCAAAACCCTCCCCTAAAACCATTCCCACTTACCCCTTCCTATACCACAAAAAACACCCCACTCACAACCCCCAAACACCCCCACCCACACCCCCCCCCACCCCCACCCCCCCCCCCCCCCCCCACCCCACCCCCACCCCCACCCCCCCCCCCACCCCCCCCCCACCCCCCCCCCCCCCCCCCCACCCCCACCCCCCCCCCCCCCCCCCCACCCCCCCCCCCCCACCCACCCCCCCACCCCCCCCCCCACCCCCCCCCCCCCCACCCCCCCCACACCCCCCCCCCCCCACCCCCACCCCACCCCCACCCCACCCCCCACCCACACCCCACCCCCCCACCCCCCCCCCCACCCCCCACCCCCACCCCCCCCAACCCCCCACCACCCCCCCCCACCCACCCCCCCCCCACCACCCCCACCCCCCCACCCCCCCCACCCCACCCCCCCCCACCCCCCCCCCACCCACCCCCCCCCCCCCCCACCCCCCCCCCCCACCCCCCCCCCACCATCCACCAAATTCCCACACACCAACATTTACCCACCCACCCAACCACACCCCAACCATATTCCCCACAATCCCCCCCCACCACCCCCACCATCCCCACCCAACCCCCCCACCCCCACCCACCCCCCCCCCCCACCCCCCACCCCCCACCCCCCCCCCACCCACCCCCCCACACCCACACCCCCTCCCCCCCCAAACCACCACCCCACCCCACCACCACCATCCCCCCCCCCCCACCTCAAACAACAAACCAAAACACTTCCAAAACAATCACACACATATATCAAATTAAACCCAACCCACCCCGCTAACCTCTTAAAACCAATCCACCCTACTCACACCACCACACTTGAAATATCACAATACCCTTCAATAAATACATCCAATAACCCCCTACAACTCACACTTAAAGACTAAACCTCCATTACCCCCCCCCAAAACCCCCCACAATTACAACTCCCTAAATCCTCCCCACCAAACACAATCCCCCTTTCTATATCCATATCTCACCCCAAATAAAAAACAAAAAAACCACCATTCCAACAAAAATTATCCAAAAAACACCCCATGGAAGGTGACGCTGTTATGCTCAGGGGATGTAAGGCAAACATTACAAATTATAGCGAGGGAGGTCCAAATAAATCCTTCCTGATTGATATTTTTCTTGTGGAACATAGCTAAACGTCCTCCTCTTACAAGTAACATTAAAATACCTCTATGGGTCAGTAATTCATCCGATCAGGCGTTGGATGGTCTTTGTGATATTCAACAACACAATATTAAACGAAAGACAGTGGTTGCGTTGGAGCTCCAATTATCCCGATCCGGTCAAGAAGGATCATCGGTCGATCGTACGTTCCAGATACGATTCCAATGTAGCTCAATCTGATGATGGAGATGAGCTATGAGGAATCGTCCAAGCCAACAATGTAATATCTGTATTTTTGAGGGGAGCACATGGAGTAAAGATAACACTATTGCAAGTGTAATTATATATGATATACGAATTTATTTACTATTTACTCGTTTTTTCCTTTTCAATGTTTTCAAGAAAAGGAGAGAAATAAAATTCCTTAGGAGGGGAAGGAGAGGGGCTTTTCGCTGGAGGACTTTATTTAAGATGTAAGTAGTGTTAGTATTCAACATGCAGACAGGATACACATATTTATAAAATAATAGCACACATAGCACTACTATTAGTGAAAAAAAGTCGTACGTAACAATTTTACATTTTTATTCTATTTGTGATAAAGGTGACATTTTGTAGTCTACAACATAAGTAGGCTACTTCTATAGAAAATAGCAGAAGGAAATAAAATATGAGATTATATAAATAAATCATAATGAAACAATCAGTTTTTATGATCTTCAGTAAAAAAACTCAATTTCTACATACGACCTTTTGCACTAACAATAGCGATGAGCACAATCCACAATGCAATGCAATCATATAATGTGTGAAGTTATGCTATCATTCCTCCCACGAACCACATTATTCTGTAGGATTTATGGGAAGTAACGGATATGGGATTGACTAGATATTTCTTCGAAGTTGCTACCGGTTGAGTTCGATAGACTCCCTGACCAACTATGAGGGCGGCTCTGCCATGCCCCATGCCAAGCTTGCTGGAGAGCGTAACCCATCCTTTAACGACCTATTCATCTAACTTCAGCCTAACATAGAGCATGATCAGTCATGAATCTTTCGAAAGAAAATACTCATTGTATTTTCTAATCATCAGTTATATACACTCCAGATGTAGTATATAGAAACTCCATAGACGTCCATTCCTATAGATGTCATGACTAGTGACGAACTGTAGTTGGACGAAGATTAATTGACAGCCAGGTTTCGAACACAAGCGGCACTAAGTTGACACTCACATTTTGTTTTTCCCTTAACAAGCAAGGAGTAATTGTTTAGCCCTAAAATTTAATTGATTAAATGAAATTCCATTCCTGATGAATTGACTCCGGGTTTGATAAATGGGATCTCGATATGTTAATCATATATATATATACATCTTTACAACTTTTTCTTAATCGACCTTTGAGTATTAAATTTAAACTTAACTATTTAATTGGGAAAAAGGTCATTTAATTTTTTTTCTTATTATTATTTTTTTTTTTTATTTCGTATCATATATTCAACATCACATAGGAGATGTGGTATTCTAGCTAAGACACTTTTATTGTTAGCCTGATAGTTAAACTTAGGACCTAATGCTAAAGTACTCTGTATATTTTGAGGTATTTGTTTATTTGTGAGGTTCAAAAACGCTGTGGTTGGGACTTCGGGCAGTGGGTCAGTTATTGTCCTTTTATTTATATTAAATTAAATGACCTTATTCCCAATTAAATAGTTAAGTTTAAATATATATATATATATATATTTATATTTATAGTTTTAGAATGGAAGTATGGATTATGCAGAACCCACAGTGTAAAACCTGGGTTTAATAATTATGATGACTTTAGGATTTTTGATTGTGAATATGGTTTTATAACGTTTTTAATCTAAATATAACTTTTATTATATAGTAAAATGTAAAGCTTCTATTCCAGATTCGCAAAATGGATTTTAAAATTTTTTTTTATTTATAAAATTTGTTACCGACCATAGCATCGCCCAGGTGGTGTTTATGTTTGTATGTACAAAGTTGTAATTATTAATTCCAATTCCAGACATTGACTCTTTTAAAACCATTGCGGATGGTTTTATCAAGCTGATAGATTCTTTAGCTAAAGACGTTGAGAGGGAAAAAATGAAAGGTATTGGTGCCAGGAATCTGGTTAAGTCGATGACAAAACAGCGCGAGGCAGAAGAGCAACAACTGCAGGTCAGTTCTCACAAATAAATTGTATAGATGTTTTAAAATGTTAATCTAAAACTTATTTATAAAATACCGAGACCGAGCTCTACCACCAGGTTTACTTCATAATTAATTAAGAGTAATAAGGAGAAAGAGAGAAGGACCTTAGTTAGATGAAAGGATATAAGGGTGAAGAGTTATGGCTGGTGGAGGACTGTCGGCGGAAGATGCGATGGACCGGCAGAAATAGAGAGACTTGCTGAATCCAGAGTTTGGTTGAGGAAAACTTCATATTGAAGAAATTCCTAAGGAAAAAAAAATATGTGTATATAATAGCTCACAGTGAGTAAAATACTCCTATTCTCTGTTCCCGGGTGTGGCTGTAGCAGGTTATTTTTATAATAATTATAGATCATTTTATTTGAAATTATTATTATATATATTATTTATGAAATTCTGTTACATTAGTTGTGTATCGACCCTGGGGTTGGAAGACCTCCCTGGAACACACCTTGCCTATAAGAAGTTATTGGTCTTAATTAATTATGGAGTAAACCTGGTGGTAGGGCATGATGTCGGTCTTATCACTTCTTTGCGTAACTTTAACCTAGAAACAGTATTTCCTTATAGTACGTGGTACAGACCCCTTTTTATCAAATTATTTACATCCCCTTGAAACTTCGTGAATAGGTTCATCTTATCGTAACTTACAACTGTTATTTATCTACGAAAACTCTTGAAACTGGGGCGTTTTCAATTTGGTGATCGGTAAACTTTGTATATTTAATTAGGCACTAAAAGCTCATATATGCCCATTTGCTTTCCACTTAGATCGTAAGATAATTTGATTACAATATCGAGAACAAAAGTGCCCTACAAAAATATTGGGACGTTTGGCCTATATAACCTCGTTTAGTACCTGTACAGACCCCTTTTTATCGAATTATTAACATCCGCCTGAAACTTCGTAAATAGTTTCATCTCATCGTGGCCTACAACTATTTTATTTACGGAAACTCTTGGAATTGAGGCATTTTCAATCTGGAGGTAGGCAAACTTTGTATATTTAATTAGCTACTAAAAACTCGTAAATACTCATTTGCGTTCTTCATGGATCGTAAGATAATTTGATCACAAAATCATAAAAAGGTGGTCTTTAAAAATATTGAGAGAAAACCTAAACCTCCAATTTTCAAAATAACGAAGTTATATAGGACAAATGGCCCAATATTTTTGTAGGCCACTTTTTTTCTCAATTTCGTGACCAAATTATCTTACGATCAAAGTAGAAAGCAAATGGGTCTTAGTACCTAATTAAATAGATAAAGTTTGCCCGCCTCTAGATTGAAAACTCCAAACAATTCCAATAGTTTTCGTAAATAGTTGTAGGTTACGATGAGATGAAACTATTTACGGAGTTAATAATTCAATAAAAAGGGGTCTGTACCACGGACTAGTTATTATTACATTTTGGAGATGTTGATCACGCCAAACGTTTCAATATTTTTGAAGGTTATCTTTTTTCTCAAGCTTGTGCTCAAGTTATCTTATGATTAAGTGGGAAGCAAACGGGTATTTACGAGTTTTTAGTACCTTATTTACTAATCAAAAGTGTGTCGATCTCTATATTGGAAAATTCCCAATTCCGAGAATTTTCGCAAATAAAATAGTTGTAGGTTACGATGAGATGAAGATATTTACGAAGTTTCAGGCGGATGTTAATAATTCGATAAAAAGGACCTGTACCACGGACTATTACCCTTTATGGTTCATATTGGGTTGAGGAAAAAATATTTTCATTTTACCCCAACAGGTGTCTTTAACTGCTTTTGAAAAGTAACAGTCCATAGAAGATTCTATAAAAAAATTAGTGTCATTAATTTCATCATCAACAATTGTTGGATAGGAGGGAATGGAATGAAATGAAATGAAGGTTCCTGAAGATCATTTTAGTCATTTTTGACTTTCGAAATTGGGAAAATAAAGCACGGGATCATATAAAAATGTATGATGTTTATAATGATGAGTGCTTAACCGAACAACTGTGTAAGCAGGGTTTGCTCGTTTTTGTTTCGGAAATTTTGATGTTGAAGATGAACCTCACCTTGATCGTACAATCGTTGAAAATTAATGAAGTTCTTCGACACATTTCACCAAGCGACATTACAGAACTTGGCTGAGAAGTTTTGGTGCATCCACCTTATATCCCGTTCCTTGCCCCGTCGACTGTTATTTGTTTCGGTCTCCGCAGAACTCTCTTAACGGTGTAAAGGTGGCAATAAAAGTGGATTTTGAAAAATCACTTAGCTCAGTTTTTTGCTCGGTAATCTCGGAACATGTACAGTGATGGTTTTACCTCAGAAGTGGTTAAAGGTCATCGATCAAAATGGTATATGTATCATTTGTTAGTGTTGAAAATTTATATAAGTAAATTTGCTTTGAAAACATTTAAAAAACAAAACAAATTACTTTATCCTCAGGTTATAGCTTTTATATACAACATATATTTGAACTGGTAGACGTATATGGTGTCTAAAAATAAAAATTTAAAAACTATTTTTATTAAAAATTTAATTGTAGCTGATAAGTAACTATTTAATATGAAATAACTAATTAAACATCGATAATCAAATAATCTGAAATAAAATTACAAAAGTTTGCCCTTGTTATTTTCATTCGCATTAGCGAGAAAAACTGAATATTATTATAAAAATTATTATTTTTGAGCTCTCATAAAAAAATAAACAGACAAGAAAAAAACATATTAATTACTTTATCTTTATATTTATTTTGCTAGCCGACGCATAGTCTGTCCGATTGCGAATCTAGCGAGACAAAAGTCTAGAAATCATGGTGTTGATAATGAAACATTTCCTTATAAACCAAACTAATCTTATTGTTTAATAATACACTGATTGACTTTTAAACCATTTTTTTTTATCTGAAACTAGTTTGTTTTTATATTTCATGAAAAAACAAACAAAAAAAAAACCATCAAATATAACATTACTATCAAGAAATATCGCCTAGACCGATAATATCGGTTTCTTTTTCATTGTCTGGCATTTTTATAGTATTGATATACGGCATTGCAAGCACATTTTTTCTTTTTTTTTTTGGGTGAAGAGTGTAAATAAATTCATTTTTTTCAGGGTTTTTTTCGAATTGCATTACAGACCATGTATATTTTTTACCGCCTTGACAAACCTGCTCCATCTCTGCCTGTCTTGGGCTATTTCTTTCCATTTATCTGCATACAGTTCTATTGCATCTTTGTTGATTCTATCAATCCATCTCCTTTTTTGCCTTCCACGTGGTCTTTTGCCTTCGATTGAGGCATTCATTGTTACGTATAGGCTAACAGATGGATTGCTACAAGCCACATGCCCCGTCCATCTTAACCTCCGTGCCTTCATATCATGGGATATTGATTGACCAGTTTCTGTAAGCAGTTCTTCATTAGTCTTTCTTCTCCACGTGGTAGTACTCTGATCCCTGATAGCTCCGGTTAATTTTTTTTTTTTTCATATCAATATAGGTTAATAAATATTTTCATTTGAGGTATATGAAAATCTGACAACAAAGAACAAAATATTTCCCTTTTTTTTTTTAATTAATAATAAGACAAAATTACTAATTTTTCATAATAAAATCTCTTACTAAAGCTCATTGATGACTTGATATTTTTCTTTGTTGTATATTTCGGAAAGCTTAACAAGATGTTCAGTATGTGACAAGCGTTGCTGTTGCCATCTTTTCTTATATTTGAACGGCAAAAAACATGGTTCATGAAGAAACGTTTTTTCAAGAGGGAAACGACTCTTCTAGATTTTGTTGAATCCGCAACATAACTTTTTAATAGACGCACGTTTGATGAAGACAAAATTCTTTCAGGAAACACATTCTCATATTTAAATGATATCATCCAATCTGAGTTTAGGTTTACTATATAACCTTTTCTCTTAAGATCCTATCTCTACGGTATAATGATGAAAAAAAAAAAGTAGGTCTCGGAGTGTTTAATTTTCCTTTCCAAACATCACTAGCGGATCCAGGATTCAATTTTGGGAGGGGCTTCAGCCCGAAAGCTTTTTTTTTTCATGAAAATGGCGATAATTACTTTTAAAAAAAATAAAGAAACTAGCTATCTATATGAAATGGTGTTTAAGTGATTCCTTAAGTCCTTTTAAATGTAATTACTTAATAATAATACTTTAAGAGATAATTTTTTAATATATTTTCTCATAAAAAATGGTTATATTTTACCATTTTGGAGAGGGCTTCAGCCCGAAAGCTCCCCCCCCCCTGTAGATCCGCCCGTGCCAAACATTGACTACTTGTTTCAAATTCAAATTTTTTTATTTACATGCTCAGTCAAGTAAATGTTTTCTTCTCAAACTTTTCGTTCAAATCATCGTTCCCAGTCCTAAATTCCCCAGTTAATTCTTGTATCAAAAACGAGCTTTTTACACAAGTAGCACAATCTCATTATCTTTGCTTTTAAACTGACGAATAAGTTTCTCATATTCATTAATTTAATATGTTGCTAGACATAATGAATCAAAATTTAGATAGTATGAGTTAAAACGTAAAAGTTATGAGTGTCCTAAATGGTATTTTATTTTTTTTAATGGTATTTCATGGGTAATAAATAGTCAGGACTCAGTCATTATAGAACTTTTTTTATTTGTGCCAACGTTTCAACCCAAACATATGGGTCATCTTCAGGGCTGAAAATTTTAAAATACAATCAGAGGTATAATATTATACGACCGAAAATGGTAAATAATAAACTATAGTGATTGATGGTGCATGAATCTTAACTATTATTACAGTACAAAATATTAAAAATGAAACATGTAAAAAGTTATAGAAACCAAAAATAATATATATAATCTATTTATAAAAATTTGTAATATTGTCTCTTACTAACCGTGGTTCGAGCACTGAAGGCTTTCAAGTACTGACACATTTGGTAGGTAAGTGAAATATTTGGTTTTTCATTAAATACCTTCTTTATTCCACTA